TTTACTTTTTGACACTTTTAGTGAAACACCCTGTAGAAGCTATTTCACTGATTCAAGTCACTAGTCAGCCATAATAGCTAAGACAATTTTGCCATCCTGAGGGTCTATATGAATGCTTAGAGCAAAATGGATGTCACATTCGTGTTCAGCGGCTATTAATCTATCATATACGACCTTTCATATGTCAAGGTCAACCAAAGATCATTCGAGGTCACATGAGGTCAACATAAAACTTAACGTTTTCGAAACAAAGTATATGCAATTCGGCGCGGGTTGACGAGGCGAATGCGTTGGTACCCTTGCCGTAACTCGACCATTTTTGTAGAAGCTATTCGTGAAACATTTAAGTCCGAGCTCGGGTCGTTGACATGACCTCTGACCTCAGGTCACCAAAACTATTTCTTATCTTACCCTAGGTTAAGCGCTACATAACCGTGCTCGTAATTTGACCAAAACAATTTCTTATTTTACCCAGGGTCAAGCGCTACACAACCGTGCTCGTAATTTGTCTGTACCTATATCTAAAACTCTATTTTTGACAGCTATTTGAAATTCACATCTCTCGGGCGCCGAAGGTTGCTGTGCAAGGGTCTAGAAAAATTGACCTTGTGACGTCATCAAGGGAGCAAGGTCAATTTTTTCCAGAAGATTTAAAATTTACGGGGAAATAGGGGAAATAGGTACTGAAAGTTTCGCTTTCCTATCCCTAAGCGTTCGGGAGCTATCGCCAATATTCGCCAGGGGGAGGGGCGAAAACGCCCCTCCCCGGACCCGCGAGGGTTAAAGGGACCCTCCCACCTTAACATTAGTTTTGAGCAGGGGCGCCGCCACGGATTTTTGACTGGGGGGGACGGACTGACTGACTGAAAACACAAGTAGACATTCTTACCGTGGCTTTTTCGGTCGGATGCATTCAACGTTTAAAGCAAATATGCCACTTTTAACATAGGGTTTTGAACTGAAGTAACAGTTTTGTAGCTTGAGCTGAGACGAGAACAAATCAGGAGCTTTTATGGCTCAACGATCACCCTAGCCAAATATATAGGTATCGATTTTAGGTTTGAAGACTGAAGTCATTCCCATAGATTACACTTTGTCATTCTCTTACCGAGGAATCCATTCCCTTACGGAAAAATGCTAGCCAATCAGCATTCAGCTGGTTTGAACTACGTACTATGCTTGGTCTATTTATATACACTGTGGCTTGGTCAACGCGTAATCAGCTTCCGCTGCAATATAGGCAAGTAGCCTCTACGAAAGATGGAAAATAGTAATGTAAAAAAAATATAAAATCCTTTTGCAAATATTCATTATTTCCTGACCATTTTATGTTTAAAAACTCATAAAACTGTGGCTGGTTTGAGGAAAGTAGTTTAGGTAGGTATTTCCTTAAAGGAAGACTGCCACCTTCAAAACGTTTTCTCAGATCGGTCTATGATTTATTCCCTGGACAAAACAAAATTTTAGAATTCACCTGACAAAGTATCATCACGTGAATCGCGAAAAAATTGTCGATTATCATACAATTATCAATCGGTTGATGTCTAGCGACACTATGTTTACACATCACTAGACTTCAAGGTCATAAGATTATTACATTTTATTTGAAAAAGTAAGGTATTTTATGATTTACTAATATATGATTTCATAAGAAATTGGCCATGTTTAATTTATTTTGCATTTAAGTTCGTAAAACATTTAAAAATCATGGCTCATTTGGAATGGGTCTGGCCCATGTTAAACCCCATTTCCCACACTTTTTTGGAAAAAATGAACTACTGAATATATAAGTTAAACTTTTATTTTGACACTCCAAAATTCTTCTCTGATCTCGAAACAATCAAAGTTTTGACATATATTTACCAAAAGATAAGAAAATTCATGTTTCAAAGTTATCGATAAACAGTAGAGATGTCGGTTTTCTTAGACTAAAAAAATGGCATCAAACTGAACTTTGGTCTCCGATTTCTCGCAAACGGGTTCGAATTTCGGAAAACCGACTTCAGTCTGGGACATAGGTGGCTCAGCTCTATTGAAAACCGTTTTGTGGAAAAAAGGTGGCAGTCTACCTTTAAAGTAATGGCTATAGACCGCATTCCCACCGAGTACCTACCTTTATTTATAGTCACCGTGCCTTTATACACATCTGATGTCCGATTCAGTTTGACACGGCAAAGCCTCGTGTTCTATCACGGTATAATTGCTGATGTATGCCACTAATATGATCGATAATGCATATTGCATAGGTAATGCATATTGCATACCCGCGTGGGGGAGGGGGCGTTGTATAGTCACAAATCTCTCTTTTTGGTTTGTGCACGAATCGGCGCGAAGCGCCGCGAAAACTGGCAAAAAAATATTAGGCAAAACTGCTCCAAAATACGAATTTGCAGCCCGTGTAACAAGCTTGATACCCGAAAACCTTAGGTCAGGAAAACCAAGTCAAGTAGTCAAGTCGCCTCAAAGTTTTGTGGTCGTGCAACCGTATAGCTTATTTCTTAGAAGCTGGAAATTTAGTGTAGCGTGACTGCAGAAGCGTGGGGTCGGAGCCGGAATCAGTCGGAGTTGACTGTTTTGTCCAGTTTTGGCCAGAGTCGGAGTTGAAGTCTTCGAAAATGTTCGGATTTTGACTTCGAGGTCGGATTGGTGTAAAGTCATGTTCTTGGCTGGTTAGACGAAATATATTAGGCCCGTGTTCGGCCAGTCGTGTTGTACGACACACGTTGATCACGATATCAAAAATCGGCAGTTCCGCGATGGCAGGTCGGATAAGCCTGGAGATTTTGTTGGCCGAGGTGGCAGGGGTCAGACCCATGCATGTGGGCCCACACCCCATATACTGAGTATCTAAACCTCCTGGACCCTCTCAGATTCGGCACCGGCCGTTCCATCTCTTCCATCCTCAGGACAGTCAAATCCTTCTCCTCCACGCCGCAACCCCCTGCTCCGGGCTGGACGCGCAACTCTATCCCATGCGGGAATGGCTCCACTGGAGCTATAGTCCTTTGCCGGGTGCAGTGAGTGCCAGTGGGCTGGGCTGCCTGTTCAATTGGTCGGGTTCATCCCAAGTGGCTCACTAGGGTGGCTGCCCCGACCAATGTCTCCCACTAATTCTTTCATACTTGCGGCTCTGAAATGGTCTCTTTGGACCGAAGGGCCTAATCAAATTTCGAGTAGGATAACAACCAGTAAAACGCCTTTTGGGGCGACCAACGGAGCGAGCGAGAGGGTGGGGTGGGCCTTGCACGTGCGAAATTGCGAGGGGATACCTCCAACTAACTTGTGCACTGCACCCTTCTAACCGGTCCCTAACGATGTGCCAAATTTGAGCGCAATCGGCCTAGCCGTTCTCGAGATCTGGAAGCGGCACCCTGCACGTGCGCACGTGCAAAATGGGTCCCAACTGACTTTTGCACGGCACCCTACTAACCGGTCCCTAACCATGTATCAGATTTCAGCACAATCGGTTCAGCCGTTCTCGAGATCTGGAATCGACCCCTGCATGTGCGCACGTGCAGCAGCACCCCAACTGTGGCACATGGATATGCATTGCCTAGTGGGTATACCTACCCAACCTACTCGTACCTACATGCCAACTTTCAGCGCAATCGGCCCAGTAGTTGCCGAGATATTGAAATTGTTACAAAACTGACACCTCTTCGTTTTTCACGTGGCACGTGCATATGGGGTCACTCACATGCATCGGGAATAGTCCGATCCGATGCTCGTTAGAAGGAATGAATCTAGATTCTAGTGCTACCCTACAAAAATTACCGCATGTAAATCGGCCAAGTGGTTGCTGAGATATAAGCCTAGCAAAAGCGTGACCACGGCATACTCAGAAATTTCCGTTAACCTACGAAAGACTACGCTCGCTTCGCTCGCTCCGTAATGAGTTTGGGGGGGACGTCCCCCTTCAATTCTGAGAGTGGGGGGACGCGTCCCCCCCGTCCCCCCCGGTGGCGGCGCCCATGGTTTTGAGTTGAGATAGCCAAGTTTGCGGCCAGGCTCAGAAACCACCATTTATCCTGGTCGCAACCCCCGCAGCTTTATGGTGTTCAAGAAATTTCTTCCCTTTACTTGCAGGGTGGGACCAGCGTGGAATCTGATGACGTCATCAGGCTTTCGAACGTCCGTTAAATGTTTGACTAAAACGTTTTGTAGCACGCGGTGGTATATGCTGCTTTGCGCGCAACAAATGCCGCACTTTCAAATAAAGTAGCTAGGAACAGCGGAGATCCCAAAAAGTAAACAAAAGTAAAAGTCTAATATCTTGAAAACCGGTGAATATTTTTCGATGAAATTTGGTAGATGTTCGTTTTTGCTCTTTCTGAACCGAGCGACATCACTTTCATGCCAATTCATTAACTTTTTTGAAGGTGGGAGCCGGGAGGGTCCCTTTAAATTGATTTCCCACCTCCAGCGACGTTTAAGTGTAAAATTGATAGTTGTAAGAATGTAGGTGCCGTGACCTTTGACCTCAGTAGGTCATACACCTATAGAAACGCCGCACTACTCAATTCATGACCGATGCATGACTCATGCTCAAGTCGTCATCGTGTCCGTACGGCATACGGCCATATGACGAGCCACGCCTAACGGTGGCAAGATGATAACTAGTGTATTCAAAATTTTACTGTTGGCAGAATTTAGAACGCCTATATGTCCTACTATGTTTATCTCTCGTCTATCATCGCGAGGCATCTGCGGAACGACGGACCGACAGTCCAATCTTATCGTACGGCTTATTCTCATAGATTCTCAGCTATACAGGGAAGCACCGACACATTCCCTCCTCATCCTGGCAAAATGCCAGGTTCTAACTATGCATGTCGGCGCTCTTAGTCCCTCTATACTTCAGCCGTCAAGCGGCCCTGATAAGATACGTTTGCCTATACAGGTTGGCTCTTTAATTATATTGTGCAATAAGTAATAACTATACACAATATCCAGTAGATTCTCCCAAACATAAATACTAAATTTCCACTCAAATCCGAGCATGTTAGTGAAATATATGTATTTTCTAACAGCTGCAAAACGGGATAATACGAAATTTGCCTCAGAAGCCACATCTTCAACATCACCCCTCAGTTCTTGCAGAATGCCATGAATTGCAACACCTTGCATTATTGTAAACTCTCCATCTAAACGTTACAGGGAATTATGGATGCATGCATGATAAATCAAGTGATGAACAAAGGGGCACACAAACGCACAGCACAGATCATCCTCAGAGCACAGCAATATAAATCCCCACAGCAAAGGCGCATCTAACTATGCAACCCCAGCGATAGCTGCTCGTCCCCTGACATAGAGGTAGCCAGCCATCACATCGGCATACAGGCAGCTATTACAACTGGCATACTTTGAGAGCAGCCGGTGAGCGACACACCCTACAGTAGCACGACCTCGCAGAAGACATGATCATAACAACTGCGGCCTCACATTCCCAGAGAGTACAAAACATCATATCAATATGGAAGATAAAATTGACATGGTCGATATAAACTAGGGGAGGTGAGTAGATGCCCCTGAATATCAAAAGTCAAAGGGATATGCAATATGCATCCAATGCCTCTCGATATCACAGGTTAACAAGAAATCCACCGCACATTATGCACATGGTTAAAAAACAGACGCTCTAACGAGATTGTACAGAGAACAATCATGTTGAATAAGCTTCCCGAGAGCTCGGGCGTAAATTCCTTCAGAAAATATATGGGGCTCAAATGGGAAAAAATCACAGTGCTAGAGTCCATTTTGAACGGCAATTCTTACGATCTTATCGCACTGACCAATGTAACTGGTATCAACTAGACTTCTGAAAGACACTTAGACTAAATATCGCATAGCTACTGACCACTTGGAAAAGTTAACGATGATGTGGATGTCAAGCATCAAAACATAGCATTAAAAGTGATTACTTAATAAGAGTGTAATGGCAGTTCTTTACCAATCGAACACGATCAGTGATTTCCATGATAAATTGAAAGGCAGCAATTGATTGCGTTTGACACTTAAATCACATGAAAGCGTGGGTTAGTTTTGCACGGTCTGCGAAGCAATTAGGTATAGCAGACTGCCCCAAAGCTAAAAACCCGCATCTGAATATCAGTCGCACAAGCCTTGTACAACAATTCTTGTACCTGCCGTTTTCAACAGCACCAGAGCACATGTACTCTCCCTGACAGTCGAGGAGCCGGGTTCGGTTGTGGCCGTCCACGATAGGCCAATACAATCCAGAACCTGCGGACGGCGTCCCAAAGAACGCCCACCCATCGTTTACACTCCACTGGCAGATGTCTCACACTCCCAGCCGTCCGATCAGACCAGGGACGGGTCGGGCGGCAGCTCGGTGACGCCCTCTTTCGGCGGCGCCGCCGCGATCCGATTGGCCTTCATGTAGCTGATAAACTGACTGGGAACCTCGGCGAGCACCTCGCGCGCCAGACGCGCCCGCAGTGTGGCCGGGTCGCCGCGCTGCAGCTCGGCAAACGGCACGAACTGGACAATGTCCCGCTCGGCGGCACGGCCGCAGTAAGAGACACGCACCTCGTCGCCGTCCAGCTCCTCCATGGCGGAGAAATCGGCCGTGCCAACACCCACGATGATGATGCTCAGAGGCAGACCGGAGGCCTCAACGATCGCCTGAGGGGGTACAGCGCAATGTCAGGAGTCTGATCCAGCGTTACGTAAACGATGCTGTTACCGTATCGAAGGCATTTTTAAGAGAAAAGAAAGTAAAACCTCGCTTGAAAATTGACATCCATTAAGAATAGTGGTGTTTTCGAAATAAATCCAAAGCATCGATTTCATATTTTATTCATACGTAAAAGCAATGCCGCCAAAGGGCTATTCCACTTGAGACGCCACGCCCAAATAACACTGCTACCTCAGCTGTGGTTTATCTCAGTCAATCACTCATTAATCATAAGTGAACACCTGCGTGTTTTCTATGCCCCCGTCTGACGGTTCTAAGTTCTCACCTGTTTGGTCTGCGGCATGTCGGTGATGACGCCGTCGGTGATGATAAGCAGGATGCAGTACTGGCTGCCGTTGCGCGACTGGCGCGCAAAGTTGGCCACGTGGTGGATGACTGGCGCGAAGTTGGTCGGTCCGTACAGCTGGATACGGGGCAGACACTGCTGATACGCCTCCACCACGCCTGGGGGAGACGGGTGAGCGACAGTGAGTCACCGGGCCCGGCGGATACCCCATCTACAAACTTTCCTGAATCATGCCTGCCACTTACCATAAACGGAAATTATTTGCGCCACATAAAATATCGTAAAAACAGACGCTCAGGGCACGTTCTAAGGCAAAAGCAGGTTAGGGAGAAAACGAAACATGGTTGTTTTGCAATATACAACGTACCTACTATGGACGTCAAACCCCTTGAGACCCCACTTTTTTGCGATAATTTTTAAATGCGTCAACTCTCGTTGACAATATTCTGGCAATGTATGTTTTAGAACCTGCCGAAACTTTTATTACTAAGGTATTTTGACGCCAAACGATTATGAAAGGTACTTCTCATTCACTCGTAATGTTAAATTTCACGGAACGAATCTGCTGTTTGGGTAGAGGCTACGTGCTCATGGGGCGGAGCCACGCAATGACGTCAGCGCTAAGCTCCGCCCTACCCCTCCGGCGCTCCTTGCCCGGCGACCGGTCACTCGCGTCTCTCGCTCCATTCAGGCTTGATGGTGGGCGGTAGCTGGTAGCGGTAGCGGGCGCTGGTAGATGGCATTTAGAGCAGATAGCGCTGGTGGCGGGGCTCGAGTGTGGCCGAGCGCAAGCCTCTGCCCGGGCCTGAATTGACCTTAGCATTACGAGTGAATGAGAAGTACCTTCCATAATCGTTTGGCGTCAAAATACCTTAGTAATAAAAGTTTCGGCAGGTTCTGAAACATACACTGCCAGAATATTGTCAACGAAAGTTGACGCATTTAAAAATTATCGCAAAAAAGTGGGGTCTCAAGGGGTTTGACGTTCATAGTAATTCGATGTCGAGCGTTTCAAACTACGATAACAGTAGTTGTATTCCCGATCTCACTTTGATCTCACCTTGTACACCGTGGCAGTAGGGGCTGACGGGGCTCAGGTTGACAAAGAACTCGTGGCTGACGACGCCGTCGGGCGGGAGGCGCGCGCCGAAGCCGAGCACGGGGAACTGTTTGTCGCTGTCATAGTCCTGGATTATCTCGCCGACGGCCCGCAGCGCCGTCACGTACGGGTTGTAGATGTTCCCGGACGGATCGCGGACACACAGAGTGTGCAGAGATTCGGCCGATGTCGGTGCCCCGTTGGACGCTGTGGGGACACGGATAGTCAGAAATCAGACATCAAGGATGAGAGTTGAGCGTTATCAACGCCATCCCTCTGATATGAAAAGTCGTAAATGTTATATTGCACGATGCAAGTATGAGTGGTAGAAAAACCATTCGCATACTGATAACTGAAACCCCTCCGTAGTAGTTAAAAGGTGAGCATTTCGCTATCTCACATTGTTTATCTTTCACACCTGTGAAGTCGATAGCGATGGTACAGGCCAGATCAGTACCACCCTGGATGTAGTCCAGGAAACTGTAGTGTGGTCTCAGTTCCAGCCCGATGTAAAGCTCGCCAGAGTTCGTGTAAGATGCGCCCTTCTTGCGCTGAAAAAAGGAGAATCGATATCATCAGCTGATTTTAGACCCTAATTCCATGACCTATGCCATGCAATGTGCAGAGCATACTTTTTTTCTGGAATGGCTGAATCAATGTTTGACGTACATACAGAAGACAGTCGCATGCGCTAATGGTAAACATCGTCATTGACCAATGACTTATCGCACAAATACCTGGAATCACAAGGGCATCTGCTCTACCATTCTGAGCATGAGTCACGTAATTGCAACCACACACGATATGCATTCAATCGCATGTTACGAAATACGAGCTCTTGCGTCATCGACGTCACCCCCTAACTGCGTCACAGTTTCGACCTATACGACGAATCAGCCTGTTGCGACATTCCATGCGCGTCATTTCATCCGAACAGCCGGGCCGCCTACGTCACGGGAAATCCCAGACTTGCCCGCCCACCTCCCCCCCCCCCCCGCCCACTAACCTGTTTCTCCGCGTTGATGAGATCCAGCTTGTGGACGCGGGCGCCGGTGGCGGAGCCGCGCTCCAGCTGCCGGATCGAGAACTGACACTCGCCGAGCAGGCTGGGCGTGCCGCTGCGCCGCCAGTGCCAGCAGACGGCGCGGATGTTTCGCTCGTGGTCGCCGTTACAGAGCGCGCCCACCGGCACGTCGATCGGCTGCCAGACCGGGTCGCGCGTGCCGCGCACCACCTCCGTGCGCCACGTCAGCGACCACTCGCCGTCCTCGTTAGACTTGAACAGCTCCAGGTAGGGACTGGGGCTGCTGCTGAACCAGCCCTTCGAGTCCAGTCTCCGCGCCGACAGCCGCAGCGCCGCGTCGAACTTGCTGCGCAGGAGCTCCTCGGCGCGAACTAGCAGCGAACTGTTCACGCCCGCCCTGGGAACGTTCAGCAGAGGTAGCTGCGAGGTGCGCGAGCTCACCAGCTCGCCGAGCGTGCACTCGCGGTACCCGAGAAAGTCGTGCTTGCTGAGGTCCTCCGACGGCGCGTCGATGTCGTATACCTCGAACCTGACGCAGCAAAACGTTGTGATAGGCAATGCAGATGGTTCAAATGAATGGTGTTCAATTTAGCAATCTCTCTATCCATAAAACACAAAGCTCTCTATGGATGATACATAATGCGGATGAAATGTTTTACATTGCTGTAAATAACAAATTTACCCTTAATTTTGTTGAAGCTGCTGAAAAACTTGTCCTAAGAAAAATACTTATTCTTGTCATCATCATGAGAAGGAAAAACAGGTAAAATATAAAACAATTTTTACCTCAGGCGTTGCTGCTCTTCAAAGTGAAATGCCATATTGATTTTTGTTGCAAAGTCAGGATTGAGGTTATCATAGATGACCTCTGTTCGCTTGAACTCTGTCCAGGATTTCATGCCTTGGTGTGCCACATACACCACTATGAATGGATCTGACTTGGAGAATACATCCATGTCTGCCAGATTCCTGGAAAGAGATCAGAAAGATAGAAATGTATTTCAACAGACACACACTAGCTCATGATAGAAACAAAAGCCATAGTGCACAAACAATGGGTAACATATTTTATTATATGTATGATGTATCCATTAACTACTTTATACTGTTGCACATGACCAAAAGCTTGAGCCTTGAGCTGCAGGCAAAAGCCAGCCATTGGTTGCTCAGTATTTATGCTGCTTTTGATGTTTGCTCACATACCTGCATGACAAGGTAAGCTCCACTTGGGAGACTGGTGCAGTTGCAGAGCCACCACTGAAATTCTGCATCTTGGAAGGTTCTGTTTACCTTGAGGCCTGAAGTGGAAAGGCTATGTGAAAGCATCAAAATGCTGAGAGAGGCATGGCAAAATTAAACTATGAACAATGGTAATAGTGGCTACTCATTTCAAGGGATATTGATCACATGTATGTTGAATGACATCAGTGATCAAATGGATAGGTAGGAAACCATTTTCATATCTGAACCCAATGTCTACCTACACTCAGTGACTCAACACAACATGGATGAAAGATGGATTGGAATTAGAGCATTCCTCATTTGGCTGAACTTAGATTAAGTTAACCTTAGTCACTGAACAAAATGTCAACAGTCTAGAATGGTGAGTGTTAAGCAACTCAGCATATGTTGAATGTCGATATCAAAGCCATTCCATGGCATTGATTCATGGCATTGACCCATACCAGTCAGTACCTACCTACTGATGAAATTGAAAAATTGAAATAATCAGGCAGCTATTGGAATATTTAGGTATCAGTATGCAAGGTTGAGCTGAACAGCAAGAATAAAAGCCTTAAAATTTACAGCCCAGTGCCCACAGGTCATATCAATATAATTAGAAGTTTAGGATAGGGTATCTACAAAGTATACCTAATGACCCAGGCTGGAGTGGGATGAGACAGGGATTCAAAAGTTCAGTTTGAGTTACTTACTTCTTAGGAAACCTGAACTAACAAGACCAGTCAAGTGTCAACACTCAACACACAACAGTGAACTGGAACACTGCACTGGCAACACTACACAGCAACACGTCCACTGGCACCTCTCAACTGTGAATTGCGGCTGTCGACAACCAAATGCAACTCCAGCTACTACACAGATAAGCGCGTTACCCCGCACCCGCCGGCAGGAATCCCAAGCAACTACTGCGCGACAGGCGCGACAGGCCTCTGCTCGTCACCACGCAGAGCGCTGATGACTCATGCGTGATTCCCCGAGAGAGAGCCGCAGGTGCCAACCGGCGAGAACAAGAATGGAAGGCCGCGCGCGGGGAAACGGCGGGGAGTCCCCCAGGTCAGGGCCTTGACGGGGACTCCCCGGGGCCCGATTTACAAATGTGGCTACGGGCCGCATTTTGAGCTCTCTGTCTCCGGGCCAGAGATCACGCTTTTCGAGGAACGGTCAAGGTCGAACAACATGTAAACAAACGGAAAATGCGCTAGTCATATGGCAGCATATGGCTGCTTCGTATGTCGACAGTTGTGACGAGCTAGCATCAATTATGGAAGTTTTGTTTGTTTACAAAACAACAGCATGAGCATAACTTGAAGTGCGAGGAGATTTCGTCGCTGCCTTTCGGCCAACCACCACCAACTTCTTACCAACTTCTTGCCAAAGGCCATCATAGATGGCCTTTTTACCAACTTCTTAGTGAAACTTGGGTGAAGCGAGTATGTTTCTGTTGGGTTTGATTGGAAGTATGTTTTCAACAGCTTCTTTTATGACCCGAAGAGCATGCAGATCAAGATGCATTGGGCCATTTGCATCTGGGCGAAGGTTGTTTTCCACAGTTTATTTGAGGACTGGTTCTGTCTACATACATTGGCCTTATTGTGAGAAGAAGTGCACATACTGTGACTTTAATAAATATGTGGCCTTAAAGGTGGACCATGATAGAATGAAAAGCTGCATTTTGAGTGAGCTGAAGTGCCAATTAAAAGAATCATCTATTGAGAAGGTTTCTTCGGTGTTCTTTGGAGGAGGGACACCCTCACTTGCTCTTCCAGCTACAGTGGAGGTATCTACTGCAGCTTTCAGAGATGTTTTAGGTGTGACACAAAATAATTTCAAAAGATACAATATTACATGTTGCCAGCCACCTTGACCTAACACTGCAGGATTTAGACATACCTGACCAATGGCTTACCTACATGTCAAGGTTGTTACTTGTTAGGTAAATAGTATTTGTAAAGTGTAGGCTTTCATTCCACATTGGCTTGAGTAATGCCAGTTAACTAGATTTAAATTATTGTTTTACTATAATTAGCTTACTAATGAAAGGATTGTGTAATGTGTTGTCATGTTGATGAATGCTTTCTTCAAGTGATGAGCTACTCAAACAAAGTAACTGGGTTCATGCTTCATAGGCCGATGGGGTTGTAGCATATTGCCTGGGTATTTATAAAACTTTCTTGGTTTGCCATTATTCCTTTTTAAATTGTGATGGTGATAGTGTCAACAATGCTTACTTGACAAAGTTCTACCTCTGGGAAATTTCAGGCCATTGTTTCCTCACTGAGAGAGCATCTGACCGAGGATGCTGAGATTACACTGGAGGCCAACCCCACCAGTGCCACCAGTCGGTCACTGGAGGCATTCAGACAAGCTGGCATAAACCGTCTGTCCCTGGGGGTTCAGGTTAGCAGTGTATTGTTATTTATTGGTAGATGTCTGATGGTAGCCCCTACTAGTGCTGCTCACTGAGCTACCATTCAGAGTTCCTTGGGATGTCCTGATTGTCAAGTGATATTAGGTGGTATTTTTTAATAAATCGATTTCCTGGATATTCATCTGAAGATTAGTGAATAATGATTAAGGTTCAAAATTAACCCATGTATCCACATTGTGTAGGCGCTGGACGATAAAGAGCTGCTCTGGCTGGGCCGGGACCACACGGCCGCTGAGTCGGAGGTGTGTCTGCAGCAGGCGGCTGCCCTGTTCCCCGGCCGGCTCACGGCCGACCTGCTGATCGGCCGGCCCGGTCAGACCGCCGGCTCGCTGCGCGCCGAGCTGCGCCGGCTGCTACGCTCCTGCCACCACCACGTGGCGCTGTACCAGCTGACGGCGCCGCGCGGCACGCCTCTGGGCCGCCAGGTGGCGCGCGGCGCCGTGCGCCTCCCCTCGGCCGACCAGCAGGGTGCGCTGTACGCGGCCGCCGTGGACGAGCTCGCCGCCGCCGGACTGCGCCGGTACGAGGTGGCCAACTTCGCTCTGCCCGGCCACGAGGGTCGCCACAACTCGGCTGTATGGCGCGGCCGGCAGTACCTGGGCGTGGGGCCGGGCGCGCACGGCCGGATCGTGTCGCGCGCCACCGGCCGGCGCCAGGCCACCGTCCAGATCCCGGCCCCCGAGCGCTGGATGCGCGCTGTCGAGAGCGGCTCGGGCGGCGCGGCCAAGGTGACGCCGCTGAGCGGTGCCGATGTGAGGTCGGAGCTGGTGTGCACCGCGCTGAGGACCCGCCGCGGCCTCTCCAGGGACGACTGGCTCGCCGCCGGTGGCGGAGAGCGTCGGTGGCGACACCTGTACCAGCACCCCGAGATAGCGCGTTTGCAGGAGTTCGTCGAGGCCACCGAGGAGCGTCTGGCACCAACGGCGCGGGGACTGAACGTGCTGGACGCCTTGCTGCCCAACTTACTGAACGTGTTGACGTCCTATGATTGTGAAGTAGGGGAGGATGAGGATAGAGAAACGCTGAGTGGGAGCTGAGACGGTGACTCGCCTACGATAAATCAAAATATCAGGTACTTTACCTCCGTATGAACTATTTGAATAGGTCGTGTTTTGTGTGCAATGTATGTCTGATATTACATTGTGACCATTGTACTTTTTTCTACAAATATATCGTGGAATTACCCACTGACCAGTGACCTAACGCCACTCCAGATCACTCCGCCCGATTTGGTCGCCAATATTGTGCACAAGCCGAGTGATACGAGTTGAAATTTAGGGAAGTCTGTCTGTAGAAGTTCCACCATATTTATCGTCATGAGTGGAAAAATACCGGAACGCTCTGAGACAACTGGAACAGAACCTCCCAGAACAAGAACCTGCGTTAAAATTACACCGGTTTTCCGGACGCTGATGTAAAATAATGTAAAATACCCTGGGTTGGATCAAAAGCTAAAGAGCTATCGATGAGGGAGATGCCAGCGATTGTATTATTATCTTCATTGGGGTTGAGGGACACGTCGAAAACGGTTTCATTTTGCAACCACTCGCAGTTATACCGCCCAGTTAGACTTTACAGACCTACCTTTCGTTCACCGTAGAAAGGCCCAGCATCCTGCTTCCGCTGAGACTATATCTAGACCGTCAGACATTTTTTCTTGCCAATGCAACGGTGAGGAAGTTCGTCCGCGAAGAAATGTAAATGTTGGCCACCCACCGATCGGTCCGCTATCACACAACCACTGCTCCGTCACCACGCCCGTGAACGTATCTGGCATGAGTGGCAACCACTTCGTTTTCCCTCTGTAACTCCGTGGAACTGTCACTGTCCTGCACTATGCAGCGCCACTCAACCGTCGGTCTCCGCAAAACACCGTTGCAAAGAGCACGCACACAGTAAATATGAACTCCCGGTTGCGACTCTTGCGATACTGCTTCAGAGCTCACGAGCATGGCGCCACTGGTGGCGCGACCGGAAACTAGTACTTTCCTTACGAATGGAAAGATCGCCGCGAACCCCGCTCGAGGACAGAGCGGGGTCAGTGGCTGAGTGCGCATCTCGGCGACTTCCAGATGCCCACCCATAAATCTAACAGTGACTGCAATAAATCCATGCAATTTTCCAGTCCATTATCAGGCTTCAATACCAAGCTAGAAATTGCACTTTCATAGTCTTAGAAACATATGAAACGATACGACGCGTTACATAACGTCACTTTTGTATTTTTAATCAGTGGTCACCAATCTGGATAAATTCCATGCAATGGCAGGAAACACACGGTACACAATTGATCACAGCATGTTGGCGACGCTTTATCGCAAAAGTACACTAATCACATGCATTGCACCACACGCATCCAAGACAGCCGGCTGCCATCATGCACACCGAATATTCAATCCCTACAAAAAGCCACTATCAGCTATCGGCCTGCGAGCGTTTCTTTTTCTTCTTCCGCTTAGCGGGCTTCTTATTCGACGACTCGTCGAGTACCGCTACAGTCTCTGGTTCCGAGCGTGCGTCTCGGGCGGCCGCGGCGGCTTGCTCGGCCTCCTTTCGCTGGCGGGCGGCGGCCGCGGCGGCTGATATGGTGGCTAGGATGGGCGCTCGCTCTAGTCCCTGCACCTCCCCATCCACTGTGAGCCGCAGACCGGAGAACGGAGTGGACCCGTCGCTGGAGCCACCGCGACCCTTCCGTCTCGACACTCCCGCCTGCTCTGCCGCCGCCGCGTCCCGCCCCGCTCGGCCTCCCCGCCCCGCGTCACCCAGCAGGCTCGCCAGCCGCACCGCGTCGACCGTCGAACTCGGCGCCTCTTTCACCGCCTTTTCCCCGTCCTCGTCATCAAACAGCTGTCTCACGGAGATGGGTTTCACCTGAGGCTGCCGTACACCCTCGCCAAACAGCAGCTCCCACCAGCGCCCCTCCTCCAGCAGACGGCCGGCGCGGCTCGCCTCGCCGCCCAGTCGACACACCTCCTCTCGAGACACGTTCTTGGTGACGTTCAGCTCGAGGTCCAGCGGGTTCTGCACGTGCAGCGGCGCGTCGCCCGGGTGGCCGAACGTGCCGCCCCACACCACCGACAGGGCGTGCGCGTTCAGATCCAGGCTGGCGTAGAGGTCGAAAAACCCCGCCAGAAGATCGGAGAGGGACTCGGTGTTGGCCGTGACGGGGACGAGACTCGGGTCGCGCAGGAACGTGTACGAAACGCCGTCCACGAGCGCCGTGTCACCCGGCCCTGCGAAACGGAGAGGGCGGTTGGTAACCAGACCATGATACCATGGGTACTGAAAGTCACGGAAATGTCGAAATAATCACATCAGAAGATAGCTGAAGGCCAAGACCAGATACAGCTGAAAAAGCATGAAAAAACTTCGTTGATATAAGCTTACACGTCTTAAAATATTACCTCCATTAAACAATCTCTGAGCCTGGCAGCCCCACTTACTTTTACTGCCTAAGGTATTATGTCTACCCTTTAAAAAGACGTCAAGTGTCACTCACTTGCGAGTTGTGTAAGCTCGTTGACGGAAGGCAGCAGCGGCACCGGCCGAGTCTGTAGGAAGTAAATGACTAGCAGGGTGAGCCCGAAGTTCGAGATGAACCGCCCGGAACCCGATACACACGTGGTCAGGTGAACCTGAAATCAAACAGAAGCCAGTATAAAATCATCAATATCAGCTGAAGAGTCAGCGGTGCACACAACATACTAGGGCATAGCGATGAACGCATTGGCCATTGCGCTGCCATATGAGCCTCGATTGATTTAGAAATGACGCTTCAACTAACATTATTTTTTATTTTTTATTTTTTATGCTACGCAGTTTAAACGCATTCATTATTTCTCGTAAATACGGTAGCTTCACATATTTTCATGCAATATCAATTGTTTCATTCCTACAATCATTTTTATTCCTTTTCTAGCGTGCACTCAAACAGTCCACGATCGCACCTTTTCCGCCCAGTGCCTCACGGCGCGCACCAGCGGCGCCACTCGCGTGTCCAGCTGGCTCCAGATGAACAGCAGCTCCGTCATGTGGATGCCGTTCCTGCCGGAGAAGAGGGCAGAACAAGCTGCAGATTTGTGCCCCAGCTGGCCAAAAGATTCGACGCTCCAAGAGAATCCAGAGTACCACACTTTTTTCATTTAAAATGACAGTTTAAACTTAGATCACTGGAAGAAACATTACATCGACGAACAGTCCTTTCATACATTAAGTTACCGGCTTGAATTATAAGCAATCTAAATTTGGCATTGTTCATCAAACTGTTGGCTTTGGAAGTTTATCGTAAGGCCATGCGACGAATTACGCAATGAGTGTTCCTTACCTCATCATGGAGAGGTCGCAGTCCACACCCGTCAGGGACTGCGTGTACTTGACGATGGGCACGCGGGCCTTCAGAATCCTCCTCACCTAATGACGGCACATCAGTGGGTTAGTTAGGGTCAATAGATGTGCCACACTCGTGGTCATAATTCCACGGTATCCGCATTATGGTTAACAGTCAACGCAATAAAATATGCTACAATAAATGTACTTTTGTCCAACAGCGCCAGCTGCTAACCGATCGAAATATATCGGTTAACCTTTTGTCTCTAACCGACGAAAATAATAAATCCAATGAATAATTGAGAGCAAATGTATCGCAATCAAACGCATCAATCTATGCGGTATTATTATAACTGATACCGGAACTGCCGTCAACTCGGTGCACAACCCACACCACAAGTAACCAACTACCGCGCCTCTGACGGCGCTCCTCCCCTCGCGGCGGCGTCCCGACTGACCTGCGAGCAGCCGGGCATCAGCGACACCAGAAGGTCGGCCAGGAAGTTCAGGTAGCGCTGTACCTGTGTGCGACTGTCCTTTTTCGCCGCCAGGGTCTGGAACGCCAGACGCTGCGACGGCTGCCGAGCAGGACAGACACGAGGCAAATGTGTGAGTTGGGACCTACTTTCAATCGCCTAGCATTTGGAACAAGTAACTTGAAATATTAACAATGAAACGTTCATCTAGGTCAGTAATGATGTTTAATTCCATAGATACTCAAATGCCCTCTAGTTTCACCCTAGCTATTAACAAATAAGGGATGATAATCAGAGACGAATGGCAGCAAAATGGCGACATTGTCGCCGACGATTGAGTCTTGTCATATTTCTGGTGGTCATAGCCTACCTAAGATGAAAACACCAAGAAGGAAACGCACCAAAAGCCGTAAAAATCAAGGAAAATTGACGTAATTACCCGGAATTGCCACAAAGAAAACGCAGACCGCCAGAGCCACCAATCATACGGACAAGCTTACATTATCGCACATAGATGGCGTTGAATGTAAGCGCCTGGAGGTTATGCTGTACCGCAAGGCCCTGATAGCGCGAAGGAACGACGAATGGCCGAAACTGTTATCCTGAGATAAGGGATAGGGTGAGTCGTATACACTATTTATTAATTCGGTTATGCAATAGGCTAGTTATACTGCATTAAGAAGAAAGGTATATCATGCGCAGACGATACATTTTTTTTTCTGCGTCGAACTCGAAACCCTGAAAGACATCCATATTACCGGTCACTACTGTGCCATTATCTGTTGATTTTGCTAACTCGCCGCCTATTCGCAGTGCGACATCTAAACAGATACCGAGCTGTTTAAAGAATCGGAATGTGCTCAGATAATATTGAAGACTCGTAAATTCTCCCATGCGTTCCATCAGACCATGTCAAGGATCCCCACATAACGTTCTCCGTGCGCTCACCTGCGCGGCGGCCTCGGGCGCCAGCTCCAGGATCAGGTCCACGTCACAGTCGTGCCGGCCGAAGCCGTTGGCCGAGGAGCCGAACGGTCTGACCCGGGCCGCGGGAAACAGGCCGGCCAGCGCGCGCTCCAGCAGCTCGCAGGTAAAGTAGCGCAGCCGGGCGCCCAGCTCGGTCAGACGTGTCAGCTCGTGGTGACGCAGCAGCTGATCATCCAGCTGAGGGTAGTCCCGAGTCGTAAGAGGAGTAATAGCCAGACTGACGCAGAAAAGTCCGGCTGTGGCAACTAATTGCTAGGATAAATTTTAGGTGAAACGAGTTAATCAACTTAAAGGTAACTGAACACGATGCAAAAGGATGCCACATTGCAAAAAAAAAAAACGAACCGACGATATATTTCCGATGTTCCTGAGCGCCTCCATAGATACGTTACCGGTGCCCACCGTGAAACACGCCCCAACAGACCATTCATCGTTACTGACCGACCGTGGCATACCGTCAAACAGAACGTTCACTGGGACTTACACACGACCAAACAGATTGCTCACGGGTATTTAAACAAGATCAAACAGATAATGTACCGGTACTTACAAACAGTCAGAAAATTCACCGATACTGACCGTGGAACATGCGGAAATCTCGTCGCACAGGGCCGCTGGCGTCAGCAGTTTCCCAGACACAGGCGGCGGCAGGGCGCGTTTGGGGGCGGTCTGCGGCGGTCCGCCGGAGCGCAGCCAGAGTAGCGGAGAGCTGACCGGCACCACCTCTGCCTGGTACGGGTGGCACGCGCACTGCAGCACCGCCTCCACCTCCGCCGGCGATGACATCTCCACAAACAGAAACTCCTGTGAATGGGAAAACATTGAGGTCACATATACATGTCTTACAACATTTTCCTCCCTTCACACATATAAATTTACAATTTTGGGAGCATTAGTGCTGACTTACCATTTAGCTCTGGAATCAGCAAGGAAAGTAGATAAGAGAGTTTTACTTAATGTAATGTAAGACAGCTAAGAATAACATTTGTCAAATACACATTCCAGCACACAGTTCTGCTAGGGATTAGTCACAAATGGGCCTATATTATCAATGGTATGCAAATAGCATGTGTCTCAGCACAGAATGCTGTGAGCCAAAGCCAATGGTTATAAGGAGGTGTGATTGCACTGCAAATGTCTTGAATATCAAAATGTTCTCTATGTTTTAGGTATACAGGTATAATTCAAACATCACATCACTATCTAAGAAGGCATGTTATATGTTTAAATCACCTTTTTATCTGCTGTGTAGTGAAAAAGACTATTGATGGTCCCATACTGTTCCAAATATGATCCCAGCTGATCAGATGACTTTGCTGATGAGACTTGCACCAGCAAAGACTGTTTTGCCTGTGACTGCCTCAGCTGCTGAACTTCAAGGAAAGTTTGAGTTGACAGTCTTTCAGGTCTAGTTGACGAAAATGACCTCAACCACCCTGAAACATAACCATAAGGCAAAAAGTCAGAACAACAAAATATTGGGTCAATTGGGCACATTAGGGCAAGGCATCAGAATGGCATGCAACATTAGGACTAAGGAGGCACATTGACATCAATATCGTGTCAGGCCAGTCCGGTTTTACAAGTGGTAACTTGAACTTTAACTCCATTACAAACTTTCTTGGTTGCTGCTATGCCATGCTTACCAAAATGCACAATTTTAGTGTGCGAAAGGAATGTCCTCAATGATGTTTGAAAGGCCATTATAATTGCTGTTTCATATTTCACAAAACTAAAATAATATCTCTACATTTCCTTTCAAGCAATTGTCTTGCCCGGGTGCTCCTGCTGATCAGGCATTAGAGGACCTTGTAAACTGACAACACAAGCACTGGGCGAAACCACAATATTACACCTAAATTAATTTTTCATCATCTTTTTGCCACTAATAATCAAGATTTTATCCAGTCCTTTATCATCATTGAAAACATCGGGTCCGAAAAATCTACGTTGGGCGCGTTGGGGGCATTGGAAAAATCATCGCGCCGACATTTGTAGCAGATGCGTTGTTTTGTAGGACAGTTCTCAATATTTTTAATATAATCATTTGATTTAATCATATTTATCATGTTCCGTTAATTTATTTAATTATTTTCTGTCTTTTTAACCTCATTAAATTATTTTGTTCTATAATTTTGGGGCTAATAGTTTCATAAGACAAAAAATGATTGTAATATTTTCCAGCTTATCAATATATCCGCTAGGTTTAATGGAAACGTTTGTGCACAGGCGAGAGCTACCCGCAGCTTGCGCTCAACGTGTTTGTTTACATTTCATTTTCGTTGCGAAACTTGGCCACGTGTGTGTGTTGTGCAGATGTGAATATTGTTGAATATTGTCATTTATTTTGGAAGGGTGTGTGGTTAGTGTCTGTTGCTGGGTTTTGTTTACGTAAATATTATAAAATGCATGCTTGATTCATTGATATAAAAGCTTTATTCTTTGTCTTTGGTCTTGTCATTTTTCCAGGCTAAAGCGACAGCTAAAGCTAAAATAGTGTTTTTATGTTTCATGTTGGGGGTTCCTGCAGTTCTTAGGGTGGGATAAAAGCTTTTGTCTCCATTTGTATAATTGATTGATTCGCGTTTGCTTATTCATATGCATGTTTCTCTTATTAGCCGCAGAATACCTACCTACATGGCAATGGATGGTTCGGAAGAATTGGATGGCTCGGAGCTGGGAACAAAAGCATTGTAAGTATGAATCTATTCATAATTAAATTTGGTAATGCCGGACAGGGTAATGCTTGTAAGCTTGCGTGTTGTGTTGTTGTGGGTTAGGGCGATTAAGCTTGCGTGACATCTGAGCTTACCAATACTGTAAAGTTTGAGATATGTTTATAGATTGAAACAGAAGCTTCTTATAAGCTTCTCTTTTTTCAGAAGGTTTTCCTGTTACCTACTTTTTTGCATATCTGTTCGGCTACTTTTGCATAATTTTTGCTACACAATGCCCATGTTGAACTTTATATGTCACTCATGATCAAGATATTATATGATTTATGGTAGGTAATTGAGGCTTTAGACATTTTCACATATTGGTATTGCACTCATTGAATTGTCAATGTGTTTATCCAAAGCTGCCTCATTTCTTATCCTTTTCATGTAAGCTCCCTTCTGATTTTTTTTTTTCAGCTGGGATGCAGCATACAGCAGGGAGGTGGAAAACTTCAAATCACACAAGGATGTGGGAGAGGTTTGGTTTGGAGAGGACAGCATGGACAGGGTCATCAGGTAAATGAGTACCCAGCTACCCAATGGTAATGTCCTCCCTGTGTCAATCTTTCTTAAAAAATCATGCTGTGGACTGGAGACTAGGAAAGCAAGTGTAACTGTATTGTTTGTGTTCACCACAAAAAAAGAATGGGAATGGCCAATGATACTCCAAGTGATTGCTGCTACCCATTGGCAGCCTAGCATGTTTTGAAAATATTCAAATGATAGGGCAAGACATCAGTGAAGTACCTAGAAGAGTTTTGAACTGGACCCATCCTGAATGTGAATCATTGACCTGTGACCTTCCCTATGCTTCCAGATATGTTGAGAGATGTGATGAAATAACTGAGTCATCATCCATTTTGGATGTTGGATGTGGAAATGGACTCTTCCTTATTGAGCTGGTAGGTTGAACAATGAACAAAATATGTGACCTACCTAGACACTTTAAATATTGCACAAAGTTATTGCTCAAACAGGCAATCACAATGTGGAATGAAATCTACCCAAATCAATAAGTGACCCCATTAGAAAGAAAAAATGCATTTTTCATACAGTTCCTGCCATTTTTGTTTTGTATCATGTCCTACCTGGACTACCAAAGCGCAGTTGGGGGAGCGTTGTGACTCCCGATGGTGAGAGCCCGGGTTCGAGTCACTCCGGCGCGCCAGATACGAGACCCCTGACAGTAATGATCTGAGGTTGGTGGGAGCAACTGCAGCCAGTTTAAGTCAGTTGAGTGGGATAGACCATGTCTAGTTTTGATGGGCACGTTAACTTTGGCGTCCAAATACTGACGAATACCCGGAGCTGTCCGTGCGGACGGTGAAAATTAGCGCCTTCGCAACAAACCCTGCTTAGCGAGGGCTCTGGCTCGGTCAAGTCAATTCTCCATTCAAATATTCATGCTGGATTTATTCACGATTCTCTCTTCTCTCGTCTATCTTCTGACCATTGTCGCGCCTGTTCGTGTCCACAGGCGTGTGCAGGCTACACAGACGTGACCGGGGTCGACTATGCTGCAGACGCCGTGAAATTAGCGCGCATGGTGGCAGAGGACAAGAAGGTGGCGGTCACTTTCGAGGTGAGGGACAGTGGAGGGTCGGAGATATCGGGAATTGCCTTACACCATCACCTTCACATTGTGGTGTTTTGTCATGCAAATTGTCTGAGCTACTATTTGCAGGTGGAATGGAATGTTTCTACATTTCTCGTCTTTCTATCGTAGCAATCGTGAAAGTTACAGCGATTTTTTATGCAAGGTCCAGCTGCACCAATTTGATTGTTTGGTTGCCCGTGCCATGTGCATGCTTAAATCTGAACACCTATGTTGTTATGGTTTCCAGACGGCAGATTTTATGTCGGTATCGACATCGGAGTCTGCCGGGACGGAGCTGCCGGCCTGCCTGAGGCGCCAGTATGACGTCGTCCACGACAAGGGCACATATGACGCCGTCAGTCTCAGCCCGGACAATCCCAAGGAGGAGCGCCTCAGGTATTGACCACGGGGCACGAGGGCCGTTATTTTTTGGTGTTGACATGGGAATAAATATAATAGAAGGTCGTCTAGAACTAATAGTTAAAGGAAGGGTGCCACCTTCCGAAATTTTTGTTCTATGAATCTATTTTACTTATTTGAATTTTTAGACGTGGTTAGCGCGTCCACAATATACAAAAAACCGAAACATTGCATTTAATACATTGGCCAAAAAAAAGATCGTTGTTTATATCACCACTACAACTCAAGGTCGTTTGATGTGGCAGCTAGGACGGCTGGCATATCCTGTTGTCATGGCAACATATCATTCTGCCATTTGCATTGATGGCGCAACTGAGACAAAAAGATGAACAAATAAAAAGGAAGAAGATAACATGATTTGAACTAAAGGTTTCATCAAAAGAACATCAGAAAGAACATCAGAAAAGAACATCAAATAAGTCGAGTAAAGGTTTTTCCTTTACAATGCTTAAGAGATCTATGGAACCCTTCACCCTTCATGCAACTTACTAGAAAAACTTCCCAATTAAAATTTTAAAACTTAAGTGTATACCATAAAGAAAAAATATAGCCTTTCAAAATGATAAAACATGCTTCAAAAGTATAACTTTTATACATACCTTTGCTGATTTCATGTTTTATAAAATACCCTTAACACGACGAGGAAATAGTGCTGAAGATTTTTGCCTGCCCGAATGCTGGCAGCAAAACTCGCAAATGATAACTTCACGTGCGGATTCAATGCTGACCGTCTCGAGCATAGGTAAGTGAAGCCGGTTTTTAGGTTCATGTGAGGCTAATCTTGTAAAAACTGCGTTGTGTCCAAAAGGTGGCACCCTTCCTTTAATACCGTTCGGCGTTCAACGTGTAACTTTGCGGTGCTGATCGTTTAGAGAGCGCAGAGCGCAAACTAAAGAGTCGTCTTTGTGTTCTTACACGAAATTCGGATGTGTTTTGACCACCGCTGCGTTCTTGATAGTTTGTGCGATGCACGATTTATGGTTGCAATCGTCTGCTCTTTACTATCAATGCCGTATTTGTCTTCGGACGCCCCCTTCTACCTGCCTCCGCCGTCTGTGGCCGATACGACCCAATTACTGATATGACCTACCCAGTCCATTGGCACCTCTCACCTCTCCAGGTACATTGAGAGCGTGCGGCGTCTTGTGCGTCCCGGCGGTCTGCTGCTTATCACCTCCTGCAACTGGACTGCCTCAGAGCTGACGGCACACCTGTGCCCCACCTTCCTGCACGTGAAGACTCTGCCAACGCCCAGCTTCTCGTTCGGAGGATGCTCCGGTAGTGTGGTGTCCAGTCTGGTCTTCCGCCGACCCGACTGAGTGACCCGCGCCGCCGGGGCCTCGTGCTCCAGAGTCACTGACCAAAGGAGGGATTAAGCTGCCGCTGCTGGGGTTATTACCGATCTGTTGGTGCAACCATAACATAAGATCTATATTATGTTGTCTATGGTTGATGAAAAGGGTATGCTGATGTCCTTTTTTAATATGATAAAATGTGATGCAACATATGCTGGTCGCAACGTTGTTGTAACTTGTATGTTTTTATATTGCTTCACACGTCATGCCGAAAAAAAATATCCGAAATTGACGGAGTTACTTTGCCATTTGTAGGATAAATAATACAAATATCCAAATGCCGTTCATATATGTATCTGTAGTAATGTACTGCGCTGTTTTCCTGCATTGACGACTTATTACGATCGGAACAGATCTCAGTTGTAATACTATAATTAGACAACCTACATGCACATGAGTGCAATAAATTAGATGTCTTCGGCTGTGCCTTTCTTAAGATCTATGCATGTCTTACGTGTTGCTACAAACAGCGACCCTACTTGGCTAACAAGCGGAAAAAGTAAAAGTCCGACAAGTGACAACAAATGAAACATTCCGGAACATGGGGAATATATTTTCATTGTGCGGTGACAAACACACGTGCTCTACGCCCTGCTGGTAAAGGCACGATCGGTCTTTCAAAACATAGTCGTTCTTCTCCGTTCAGTTGGGCAGCACTCGATTACACGGCAAACAATACTTAACACATTGCACAGTGCGCACTCATTTGCAACGAAATAATATTTATGTGCTGACAGTGCTACAATTACGTCGACTCGAAATCGTACCTGATTCGGTAAAGAAAACATTCACACAATAAACAATCCCCGATAAACATGTAATCCACATTCTGCCTACGCACCAGTCACTCCAATCACCCAGACCCTATCACAGCTGTCTAACTCCCATTGAGCCCCTCCCTGCGGACTGCACTCCCACTCCGTTCACCCGCTTACCGGACCCCCGATTGTCACTGACCTCAGTTTCGCCAGCAGCGAGTGGGTAGGATCGTCCCCGCGCGGCTCGCTCAGCAGCGGCGGCTGCTTCTGTCGACTAATATCGTCAATCACTCCCAGCAGTTTCTCGGAGGGCGAGAGCTCCTCCTGCGGCGGCGGAGGTCGCAGAGCGCGCTCCACGTCCGCTACCATAGCCCGGTACCGCTCCTGCGCCGCCTCCGTCAGCTGCATCAGCCGCTTGTAGTTGTCCTCACTTCCCTGGTAGTTGAAGATTCCCACACAGCTCACAGGCACCGGCTTCTTGCAGGCGTGGCCCAGCGCGCGGCGTTTGAGCGCAAACACCAGAGGAACCTCACGCTCTGAGGCGAGAGTGAGCAGTCGCTCAACAGCCTGGTCCAGCCCGCCGGCCGTCTCGATCTTCTCAATGTTGGGCGCCAAAATCACACACGCCAGCTTCTTAACGGCCAGGTGTTTGGACACCTCCCGTAGCCCAAACACGAGTCGCCGGCGCGCGCGAGCCTTGATCGGGTCGCGGTTGTACAGCCGGTCCTGGAAGCGCGTCAGGTCCTGCAGTAATAGGCGAGCGGACTCGTCGATTTCGGGACTGAGCGCCTGTTGGCAGTACTCGCGGAACTTGCTGCTGTGGATCAGTACCTTCGGGTCGACGGTGATGCAGGGATTGTAGTCGGGTCCCCGGGAGGGCGGTTCGTCGTCATTATCATCACCTGCCGGCCCAGAGTCCTTGCTATCTGCGACTGGTGCGGGAGACGCTGCCTCGTCGGGCTTCTGGTTATTCTCTTGTTTAGGTTCTGTCTTCACTTCTTGTTTTACTGCTGCGTCCTGCGCTTCCTTTACCGGAGATGTAGATGACAGAACACTGCAGACGGATGTCGCTGATTTGTTTGGTAACGAGTTTACCTTTTGTGCCTGATCTGTTTCTTGCGGGACATTTTCTACTGCGGTTGGGGTTAGCGGCTCCTGCTTTATCTTGATGATGACTTTTTGTACTGATTCGGGGAGTGAAGCAAAAGCTTGTTTCACTTCTGGCGTGGGTTTCTGAGGTGAAGTTGATACCGACTCTCGCTTCAGAATCACGAACGGTGTTTCCATCGTAGTCTGTTGCTCGACGGCTGAAGAGGCAGACTGTTCGCGTCTTCGTGCCGCTTCTGAGTCCTGGTTCTGCGACGTGATGTCCTGCCCTACCACAGACGCCGAAGCCACACCAGTCTTATCCGTCTCCTCCGCCTGCGGCTGTGCACTGTCCGCCTGACCCACAGTCACACTCGCCCCCTCCGCCGCCCCACCCGGCTCCGTCTTCCCCTCCACTCCCCCCTCACCGACCTCCCGTACCGACAGACCAGCGAAGAGCGCAGTGGCCGCCGCCTCCAGACCAGCGCGCCGGCGCCGCTCGGCCCGCTCCCGCAGGATCACGCGCTTCAGCAGCGACGGTTTCTTCTTCTTGGTGCGCTCCTTGCCGCGTTTGTGTACCAGCACGCTCGAGTCGAGTCGGTTGCCGATGGCACGGACCGGCTTGACGAGGCGGCGGGTGGTCGACCTCTGAGCGGACGTTGCACCGTCGTCCTGCTGTCCCGACCGCCGCGACCGCGACGCCGGCTGCCGAGGAGAGAAAGGTCGGTTGAATGTATTGTATCTTAATTCTAGGCAAAAAGTGGCTAAGGCGGTCGATCTTGAATTAAATACATTCGCGCCATTAATTTTGTAGTTATCAGCATAACGTTGTATATCAATTATGCATGACACGAATAACTGAAAAAAGTGAAAAGAAGTCGACAGTCGTCAATGTGTTAACAACTACAAAAATTACATGCGAAAATATTGCGATAAAAGTTTGAAAATTATTACAAGCTGCAGCATAAAAAGCAACTAACCAAGGTGTGTTTTTATAACTGACGCCATGTCGACCAGTGACCACCGACTATGAACTTACCATGAATGCTAGATCCATGATGCTCGCCTCGATCGGCATTCGCTTCTTCGGCGCCTTCTTCTTCGTTTCTTTCGCTTCCACGAGCTCCTTGACGTTGACGGGTGGCGGCAGCGACTTCGGCAGCTCCCGCAGCATCCTGCTGTAGGTCTTCGCTCCACCGTCCTTCCTGTCCGGCGGCCGGGGCTCGTGCGACCCGCTGGTGCGCCACACGCTGTCCCGCTGCGGCGGGTCCTCAGTGGGTGTCTCAGGGGCCACCTCAGGAGCAGCAGCGGTGGCAGCAGCGCTAGCCGCGGCGGTGGCTGGGGCAGCGGCCTGGGCCACCGCCGTCTCGGCCAGACTCGGGTAGTGATCGGCGGCCCGCAGGTCCACCGCCTCCGCCTGACTGCGTCGCCAGCGGTTGCTGTGCGGGCTGTTCAGTCGCTCGAACGCGTCAGCAGTCACCAGCTGCACGTGCGTGTCCTTGCTGGCGTTCAGACGCGCCAGAATCAACTGACTCTCCTTCTTTTTGGCCTTCTTCATCTGTCGCTTCTCCTTTTCTTTCTTCTTCTGCGGGGTCTCACCGGTGGCGGCTGAGCTGGGCGAAGGCTCCGCGGCGGCCGGCGGCGCTTCGGCAGCGGATTTCTGCGCGGTAGCGGTCTGCAGCATGGCGATATCCTCACGAATCTCTCCGCGCACCACGTCACGCCTCTCGGATTTCTTCGCTGGCCGCGCGCGCCACGATACCGCCTCCGCATAGGCCACGGGCCGGATCGGCGGAGTCTGCGGCATTGGTGGGGCGGCGGCGGCAGTGTCGGAGGCGGCGGGCTCGCCCTGCTGCGCGGCCGCCCCCGCCATCGAGCGCAGCGACTCGTCCAGCTTGTGCGCCACACTGGAGCGGCGCCTCTCGGTGCCGGCGGCGGCTGGCGCGGACGACTCAGCAACGCCGCGCAGACTCGGAAAGTCAGCCTCCGAGCGGAGTGGCAGGTCAAACTTTGGCATGACGAGCCGCACGGGCCGCCGCAGCACTGCCGGCGGCCGGTTCGGCCGATCCGACGCCATCTCCGTCGGGAACCTGGCGCCGAGCCGGCTGCGGGCGGCCGGCCGCGGGTTCGGCTTGCGCGGCTCGACAGTGTGAACCTGACCGAGCCGGGTGAGCGCGAAGTCTTCGTCGCGGAGCTTGGTGAGGGCCTGGCGCGAGCGCATCACCAGCTGCCAGTCGTTCTCCCTGTGCTCGGTGCGCCGGGCCGACATCGGCGGGTCCTGGCGCTTCTTACGGCCCCCGGCGGCAGAGTGGGCCGGCGCGGAAGATAGTGGAGCGGTCTTCTGGCGCGGACGAGCGCCGACAGTTACCCAGTTGTCGTCGTCGTCGGGAGCGTCCCTGTCATCCTTGCTAGACATTGTTCTGCTTGATAGCTTGGTGGTAACTGAAAATATAAAAAGAACCATTAGGCAGTGTCAGAGAAAAGCAATGGTAATATTTGCCATAATGTTGAATATGAAATGGAAATAATAATCAATCATAATGAATGTATTGTTGAATATTGAATGTATTTTGTTGAAAACAACAGCAAAAAAGGAATTGCACTCAATCCAAATGACAGCTCCCTAAAATAATAATTTTTTTAGGTAATTGAATTATATTCCAATTTTGCTACTTTTCAATGAATATATTAAATGCACACTGTAATTTATCATTGATTTACATTCCTTGGCAATAGATAGTGGCTGAAATGAGAGGGTGAAAATGAGTGAGCAATGGTCAATCACAATGGATGAGGTGAAATGAATGATGCAAGTGAAATATTCAGTGAGACTGAATAAAACATTACTTACTGAATAATAGTAAATTTGAAATTAATGGTGTATACAACTTAAATAAAATAGTATATTTGAAATAAGAAAATAAATGCAAGGGTATTGTATTACAGCACTGAAAAATTAACCTCAAATAGGCACTTTGACTTCTTCAAACCATGGAAAGCCATCACTTGAAAACACTTGACCACAGAGCTCTAATTGAATTGCTTGACAATCTTATTCTGCTAAACTCGTCTGTCATAGAACTCAAGATCAAAATTTTACACAACACCTACCTATCTATGCAATCACCTACGCACTAGGTCAGCACATTGACATTCTGATTTCAATTTGTAAAAACATAACACAACACATGCCCTGCGCTCATTCACCCATCTTGCTTATCCAAAATAGCGATTCCAGGACAAATCTTCGTATGGCATTTCTTCGTCGCGCAATTCTTCGTCCGCATTTCTTCGTCCGCAAATCTTCGTCGGCGCATTTATTCGTGTCGCATTACTTCGTCTCGCATTTCTTCGTAGGTGCAAAAATTCGTAGCGCATTTCTTCGTATCCGCATTTCTTCGTCGGCGTATTTCTTCGTCAAGCATTTTTTCGTCCACGCATTTCTTCGTCTACGCAAATCTTCGTCCGCGTTTCTTCGTCCACGCAAATCTTCGTCTGCGCAAATCTTCGTCCGCAAATCTTCGTCCCCGCAAAACTTCGTCCGCAAATCTACGTCCGCATTTTTTCGTCCACGCATTTCTTCGTCTACGCAAATCTTCGTCCGCATTTCTTCGTCCACGCAAATCTTCGTCCCCGCAAATCTTCGTCCGCAAATCTTCGTCCGCAAATCTTCGTCCGCAAATTTTCGTCCGCATTTTTCGTCCACGCATTTCTTCGTCCAACCAAATCTTCGTCCGCAAATCTTCGTCCGCAAACCTTTGTCTGCGCTATCTTCATCTCCGCAAACATTCGTCCACAAATGTGATTCAATAAAACCATGAAGAAATATCAGACAGTCAAGTGAATGACGAATTTAATGCAAGGAATTGATGATCGAAACTTTTGAAGACAGGTAAATGAGGTCAGTCAGGTGAAGCTATTGTATTTGGGAGCCGACAATCGTAACATTCCTCATTTGTGTCCCGGACATTCTTTTGTTTTGCGGTCGTTGAATGACAATATAATCTCTTGTACCCTCGCCGGCATAGGCGGCGGAACGGGGAGGGCACCGGGGCACCGTTCCCCTCTTTAATTTTGGCCTTTTTAACAGTAGCCCTATGGGCGTTGCATGGAAAGCATATTGGACCAAAAGTCGGCAGTGCCGTGCCCCCTTAATTGAAGATGTTCCGCCGCTACTGCCCGCCGGACCTATTTGTTTTCTACGTGGTACACGCCGGCCGAGGGGGCGGGTACGACCCCCCCCCTCGCCGTTTCGCCACTGGCGGAGCTAGCGCGTCGCGGAAAAAAACGAGCGTGTGCGCCGTTACGAGCCGCAGAGATTAATACCCGATTTTAAGGCCTTCTAGGTCAGGGGTCGGCATACGGCCCGCGGGCCGGATCCGGCCAGGTGAGTGACGGTTGGATCCGGCCCGCGACCAGCTGACGTCCGGCCCGCGGCTGGTATCAGCGACTTACATCGTGTTCCGGCCCGCGGTTCCTTCATAAATCGACTCCGATATAAAAGTGACTCAAATGTGCTTTGGCACAACAGTTCTTCCTTCGCACACTTCATGAGTTTATAAACACCACTTGCGGGTGTTTTTGTCTAATTCTACTTCTAGACAAAACTTGCAGCGAAGATTTGGTCAGCAGCTTTTGCGCGCAGCATCAACGACTGCTGCAGCTGCGTGCACTTGGCGGCTTCACGTGGTCTACTCGCTTAACCTTCCAGGCGGTGTGTGTGTGGGGGGGGGGGGGGCCGGGCCGGAACACGATGTAAGTCGCTGATACCAGCTGCGGGCCGGACGTCAGATGGTCGCGGGCCGGATCCAACCGTCACCCACCTGGCCGGATCCGGCCCGCGGGCCGTATGCCGACCCCTGACCTAGAAGGCCTTAAAATCGGGTATTAATCTCTGCGGCTCGTAACGGCGCACACGCTCGTTTTTTTCCGCGACGCGCTAGCTCCACCAGTGGCGAAACGGCGAGGGGGGGGGGGGGGTCGTACCCGCCCCCTCGGCCGGCGTGTACCGTAGAAAACAAATAGGTCCGGCGGGCAGTAGCGGCGGAACATCTTCAATTAAGGGGGCACGGCACTGCCGACTTTTGGTCCAATATGCTTTCCATGCAACGCCCATAGGGCTACTGTTAAAAGGCCAAAATTAAAGAGGGGAACGGTGCTCCGGTGCCCTCCCCGTTCCGCCGCCTATGCCGGCGAGGGTACAAGAGATTATATTGTCATTCAACGACCGCAAAAAAAGAATGTCCGGGACACAAATGAGGAATGTTACGATTGTCGGCTCCCAAATACAATAGCTTCACCTGACCATGACCTCATCTACCTGTCTTCAAAAGTTTCGATCATCCATTCCTTGCATTAAATTCGTCATTCACTTGACTGTCTGATATTTCTTCATGGTTTTATTGAACCACATTTGTGGACGAATGTTTGCGGAGACGAAGATAGCGCAGACAAAGGTTTGCGGACGAAGATTTGCGGACGAAGATTTGCGGGGACGAAGATTTGCGTGGACGAAGATTTGCGTGGACGAAGAAATGCGGACGAAGATTTGCGTAGACGAAGAAATGCGTGGACGAAAAAATGCGGACGAAGATTTGCAGACGAAGATTTGCGGGGACGAAGATTTGCGGACGAAGATTTGCGCAGACGAAGATTTGCGTGGACGAAGAAATGCGGACGAAGATTTGCGTAGACGAAGAAATGCGTGGACGAAAAAATGCTTGACGAAGAAATGCGCCGACGAAGAAATGCGGATACGAAGAAATGCGCTACGAATTTTTGCACCTACGAAGAAATGCGAGACGAAGTAATGCGACACGAATAAATGCGCCGACGAAGATTTGCGGACGAAGAAATGCGGACGAAATATTGCGCGGCGAAGAAATGCCATACGAAGATTTGTCCGGTTACGCAAAATAGCAGATGCACTTTGAAATAGGTTATACCTGTACTAGGTATATTGAAAAAAATGTATTCACTTGTCACTACTCCTCACTTCCACGAGCAGGGAACAACCGTGGTTAAAAGAAAAATAAGAACATCAAGTGAGAATGACTTTGAGATACATTACGTCATCAATAACACTAAAAAGGGATTCGGTACATTTGACTTGTTAACTTCAAAGTACAGGAAAGAGAACTATCAAAATGCTATCTAAGCATCCTAAGTTCAAATTTGAACTCACCTTCAAATTTGAAATAATGCCCATTTCATGACAAATTTGATGAATTTAAATTTCATTGCTGCCCAGTGATGCTTATATCACGAACATAACCGAGAACAGTTGAAGCTCAAGAGCAATGCTGACGGATACGGAGTTTACAAATGGCGCAATAAAGACAATACATAACTGCTGTCAGCGCTCACGCACGTAATATTACACATCTCATTGGTTGGCCCTTCCGGATCACTAACAGCACCAACAAGTCCAACGATTTCAAAAGGAACGAATAAGTTTTACAAATTGAAATACAAATAAGTTGGGACGTTTTATTGTATATCGTAAGTTTTTATTACATATTAGGTGGGCAAATTTTGGTAAATCAACTTATATGGCCTTGGGCAAATTCTAATATACAGCCTTGGGTAAATCCCTTCATGCATTATTACAACCAGAACAGATGTGATCATGGGAAATGTGACCGCCACCCTGCTAGCATGAAGTTTGGAGCAGATTCACTGTGGTGTTCAGTGCTGCAGCCAGCCGGTGCTGATTTCCAGCCTGGTTAGTGCATGCTGATACAAATTTTCTGGTTGGTTGGTTGGTTGGTTTGGATTAAACATCATATTCCGTGGACCAAGGTGCTAACCGGAACTCCCACGGGCCACGCTGTTCCAAGTTGAAGTGGTCAGGCAGCGGCAATGCCACATGCATTGTCCAGGAATCAAATCTGGATGGCTGAATCTAGAGGCAGGGAACTTACCCCTAAACCAGAATGTTCCCTGCCTATAGATGGCCTTGCTCTCTGCAAATTTTCTGGTATTCATTTAGCAGGCATCTCACATGCTGCCACCTGTTTTTGAAAAATGGCTAGACTTCAGTTCTTGAGATATTTACATGAATTTCACTTATAAAAGTCTCTAACCAAATAGTCTCACAGAACGAAACATCTAGCCTCACCTGCCTAACCTTACCTACTAATCTAGAACCTACCAACCTTGAGTTGACATTTTGTGTGCTGACTTTTCTTTGAAATGGATGAGATGTTTCTCTATGCAATGAAATATTACCAATAATAAGTCATTGTTTCTTTCAGGTGATAGTAGTCCAGTTACCTGCCACCATGGGAAAGCTTCATGTGGAAACCCCTGCTATTTCATCACCTTCACTCACAAAGCTATGTGGACGAGAGGTCTACTTGAAATTGGAAAACCTTCAGCCCTCTGGCTCATTCAAACTGAGGGGCATTGGGCACCTCTGTGAGGAGGTGAGTGCATCATTCAGATAAAATTTCTTAGAGTACATATTTCATCAGTATTACATGGACCAGTATTATCGAATGCTGATATGTCATTATGGTCATCTTGCTTCTTGGCTTCATAACTGCTAGCAGCTAACCTTCTAACTGGATTCATACCTATTTTTAAAAAGGAAGTTCAAAGTAAGCCTAGGTCCTTTTAATGACATATTGTGTTATTTTATCGATGATGGTGCCTACTAACATTTGATTAATGTTCGGTTAAATGTGCACAATTCGTTTCAGGCGCGCGCTGCCGGCTGCACCGAGGTGGTGTCCTCGTCGGGCGGTAACGCGGGACTGGCGGCGGCGTATGCGGCGCGCAGCCTGCAGATGAGCTGCACAGTGTTCACCCCGCGCTCGACGCCCGCCATGGTGGTGGACAAATTGAGGGCCGAGGGCGCCGACGTACAGGTGCGGCAGATAGAGGGACGGGCCGGGGAGCGGTCCCACCGCAACAAACTACCGTAGGCTCCGTATGATGGGGAACGTATGTGTTAATGGCTGAGATGTTAGTCTCAATCTCGATATATTCGTTTTTGGGTTAAGTCTCAAATAGCAAAAGCAGGAAATTATCGATCTTTGAAAAGCTTCTCAATCTCACTCGGCCTGCCTCCGTTTCAGATTGTGGGTAAGAACTGGAACGAGGCAAACGAGGTGGCGGTGGAGCGTGCCAAGCGGCCCGGCTGCTGCTTCGTGCACCCCTACGAGCACCCCACCACCTGGTGAGAGGCCGGCGTGTCACTGAGGGTTCTGCAGTCGGGGTTTATGTGGACGGATCGGGTTGTATGTGGACAGAGGATGGGGTGAGCTGCGAGTGTGTGTTAATGGCTGTAGTGTCGCTGACTGCCGATAGAAGCCCCTGAGGCCTTCGCACTACCATGTTCTTGGTTCTATGTTCGTCTTAGGTTTTCGAAAGTGATAACAGAAATCGGCAATCATACGTTAATATTAGCATGATTTTTAAATTGCCAGAAAAGCGGCCCTTTGGCTAATGACCAGCTGTCGAATCGACTCAGCACTCGGCACCGACTCCCTGTAACATGCCACCTCACTACCTCCGTCCCCAGGACGGGCCACTCGACTCTGGTGACGGAGCTGCAGCGCCAGCTGCCGGAGAGGCCGGCCGCCGTGCTGCTCTCAGTCGGAGGCGGCGGCCTGGCCAACGGCGTCATCGAGGGACTTCACAGAGTCGGTGCGTAGAAACTAGCAACTCATGTGGGTGGAAGGCGGGATACGATGGCGTGCGGCCGCGGTTGCTTAGAGCTTCTTTGTTGTTGTTTTGTTTTTGTTTGTATTGTTTGTTATGTTTGCTATATTTGTATCGTTTTCAGCAAATCTGCAAGGGATCTGATGGGTATCGGAATGGCTATACATATTCGGACTTGTAAGTTGTATGTCAACGCATAATAACAAGCAATGCCTTTAGAAAATGTAGGTATTTCGACTACCTACATAGTTGTTGGTGTTGGCGTCTGAATTGGTCTGCTATTTAACGATATTTCCATCACTATCCGGTTCCCCGGTTTCTGATTATTTTGTTACCGATACGCCCAAACCCCGCTCCCCAGGCTGGGACGACGTACCGGTGGTAGCGGCCGAGACGGAGGGCGCCGACTGCTTCAGCAAGGCGCTCGAAGCCGGAAAACCCGTTTCACTCCCCGACATCACCAGGTTTGTGGATGTTTTATGTATTACTGCTTCCATATTGCAGTTCGATTTGATTCGTGTCGATTTTAGTATCAATATTGCGGATTGCATGCCATTGCCAACGACATTGCAGCGGTTGCGGCTGTAGCAGCTGTGAACTTGTTTTTAGCGCAGGCATTTCCACGTCTCCACGCGTGTCGCCAACCCCGGCCGGTCACCTCACACATCGCATAGTGCACCACCCATCCGTCTGTCTCCCCTTGTGTAACCTTCGTATGCGTCTCTTTTTTCTGCGACACTTGCCTACGTTCTCCATGTGTCACCGCCTATCCTTCCCTGACGTATGCCATCCACCCTCTCCCGTCCCATGGGACGGACACCTTCTCACCTGCGTCCCGCGTGTGCCGCCAGCCTGGCCAAGTCTCTGGGCGCGCTGCAGGTGTCCTCCCGCCTGTTCGAGTCCGCACAGACCCGGCCCGTGTTCAGTGTGGTCGTGTCCGACCGTCAGGCGGTCGAGGCGTGCACCCGGCTCGCAGGTCAGTGCGGCGCCACCGGGCGGTCAGATGAGGGTCATGCGTGCAATGGGTATTGTATTGTATTGTATTGTATTGTATTGTATTTATACTGGAAACTCTCCACAGGTGGCTATTACGAGCCCAGTTAACATGGCGATGCATTGACAGCACAACATACATTTGCAAACACACATACATGTAATGAAAGTAACAGAGTTGAAAACAAGCAGATAAGGAGGGTATTTGTCACTGTTCCAGCCTGGTCATGAGCTGGCGACGTGACGTGGAAAGTGTAGTCACACGCGAAAGTTTATTCCACGACACGGCGGCTCGGTAAGGAAAAAGTCGCCGCGCGGTCGTCAGCTGGAGGCGAGGGGGCGCGAGTACCGCAGCGCCGTCGGCGGTGGCTCGCGTTCGACGCGAACACACTGTTTGGCGAGGGCGCGCCATGGCTTTGAGCGGCTGGGGGGCTGTGGGGTCATGTAGGGTGCGGTAGATGTTTATCGCGTCGCGACGCATCACTAGCGTGTCGATATCGGGCCACCCAAGCGTCGCGAGGGCGGGCGATATATGGTCGCCTCGGCGTAAACCAGATACCAGTCGGGCGGCAAAATTTATGACTTTCTGTAGTCGGTTCAGACGGGTGCGTGTCGCCCCACCCCATACTGACAAGCAATACTGAAGGTGAGGGAGGACGTGGGTCTGGACAAGAATTTTGAAGATGTCATTTGAGACGGGGGTTGTAACGCGGGTGCCTTTGGTGGTTATGCGCTTGACACATGTTGTGAACTTCAAGATGGATATGCCGACCATCTTATTTGGCTGCGTTTTAGCGGTGCCGAGAGTATCTTGTATAGTTGTGATGTATGTATTAATAGCTGCAGACCCCGTGTTAAATGACAGTCAAGAATAAAATCCCACCATGTTTCTACCCTCCCCTGACTGCCGTTGACCCGAGAGGACCATGTATCTACCTCCCCTGACCGCTGCCGCGCGCCCCCAGAGGAGCACCGTCTGCTGGTGGAGCCGGCGTGCGGCTCAGACCATGCCTCTACCCTGTCCTGACCAGTGCCGTGCGCCCCCAGAGGACCACCGTCTGCTGGTGGAGCCGGCGTGCGGCGCCGCGCTGGCCCCGCTCTACTATGGCCTGCTGCCGGCAGAGGTAGCCGCGCGGCCCGGGCCGCTGGCCGTGGTGGTCTGCGGCGGCAGCGGAGTCACGCCGCAGATGCTGATCCAGTGGCAGCAAATGACGGCTGCCTGAGGTTCCTCCTTAGCCTAGCGGCAGAGGATGACGACCGTCTGAGGTTGGTCTTATCCCAGCGGCCGCAGGTGACTGCCGTCTGAGGTTCTTCCTTAGCCCAGCGGCCGCAGGTGACTGCCGTCTAACCTGAGCCCAGCAGCAGCGACTGCTGCCTGAGGAGCTTCTTGAAAACGTTGGCAGGCAAGGCTGCTGCTGTTGTGGCAGGCTCACCTCCTCATGCAGGCAGTAGCGCCACTGGCAGTGTGGAAGGATCCTGTGTTTTCATGGTTAGTCCGGACGTACCAGTCAGGCTGCGAGGCTGTAGACCAATTTATGAATTTAGTGCGGGTATAGACACTCTTGAGCGGGTAGATTAACGATGAGAATGGGATATCGCCTCTTAGAGTCATTACATTCAGGGAATGTAGTATTATTTTGACGGGTTAGACCGTAGACGGGCGGTGGCATGCATTGAGACGGTTTACACGATTGTGATAGTATGTGATTGATGTGTGTGTTAATGGGGTTTAGCAGCTGAATCTAATTAATGATGATTGTCGGGAATTACCCTCATTGAGTTGAAGATAGGGGGATTCAGGGTTTGGTTTCATTGCAGGCATATGTGAGTCGGTGTGACAATATGCGATGATACTCTGTCGTGATTTTGGAATGGCCCGGCGCTTATCCATGGCCAACTACTTGTTAACTGAAATGCAGTGATTCGTGAACACTGAACAGTGAACATGGACTGCCATATTGATATTGTGATCGATTTGTGATATGCAGGGAGGTGCATTGGAAACTTGATAAACACATTGTCTTTGTTCGAAATCGCCGACAAATCGTAAATAATATATGCATGAAACAAACATCACGCTCTCAAAATATGCATCATATTTTTTTTTTTCACTGGAACGGGCATGCCTACGCACAAGCGGGGATTATAACGCAAATCGGGTGGCTTACAAACACTGCCCGAGACCAGGTTGGTTCGTGGGAGTCGCGGACGCAGGACAGAATATACTAGGTCAGTCAGAAACACACACTCATGTTGTGCAAGTTTATTTGAGTCCACTCAGGTGAAAAGGCTGCAACAACGCAAAATTAAATGCTGAACAATGCTGAACGCAGGGTTCAAACACGAACACAGGAGAATGCATATGTCTAAGCGTGCAGTACAGACAGCGCGTGCCTGATGACTAGTGCAAAACGTGAGATCACTCGTTGATGTATCTTTATATGGTTCATTGCAGCACCGAGATCTTTTCTTAGTGGTAACAAGTATCATTGAGATCAACGAAAAATAACTGGATTTAACAGGGTAACACGATCATTTACAGTGCATGTAAAACACTAACGCTTTGTAACCAAATCAGACTAGAATATCATCGTGACTAGAATGTGTGCTGATTCAGTGCCATTAACGAGAGCCGAAAGCTGAACAGATTGCTTCGGCACACCAATCGCCTTCAGCTCACGCCTCACACCCATCGCGTGTCATTCCTCGGGAACAGGAGCTATTTCCTTAATGCTAGCCGCGGCAACAGCCAAATGGACGGATCCGTTACGAGTAGTACAATCTGGCCGAGCGAATGGCGTGGAAACGACAGCCAATACGTCACATTCCCATCTGTTTTAGTGCTTTGTGGACGGCATAGCATAACACACCCAGCCTGAGAGTGGTGGGAAAAGACTGACATCTAGAAATCCGTGACTGTGTGCTTCCCACAGTTCTCTTTAACCCGCGCGGGGCTGGGGTCTCCAGCCGAACGCGCGGGGCTGGGGGGGGGTAAATTTTACCCCCCCTGTTATCTCCCGAACTAATGGTCCGATTTGGAAAATTCAAACGCCAATCGAAAGCTCTCATCACGAACTACTAAAAACATGTACTTAATTTAAAGTTTGAGGTCAAGGTCAAGGTCAGGTCAAGGGTACAAATTGCAAGTTTCTACAGTATCGGCCTTGCACCGTAGTTGCCGAAGAATGGAGTCATGGACTGAGACTGATCGCCCAAAACGTGTTCTTAGGCTACCAAGACAATATTCGTTGCATACAATATCATTCAGAGGTCAAGGTCAAGGTCAGGTCAGGTCAGTTCAGGTCACCAAAAAACAAAATATAGAAAAGGGCATGTGCGACACATGTTTTATGGGTCATTTTACTCATAGAATTCAATAGGCACACTCAGTAAGTGATATGGACCACCTCTGGATGAATTTCAGGTCGAGGTCAGGTCAAGGTCAGGTCAAGTGAGGTCAAATTTTGAAGTTGGTTGTTAAGGCCTAAAAAGGTGTCTATCTGATGCAGTTTTTCACGGCGAATCGAATGGTGCTATTTTCGTTTCCGTACGAGGTCTAGAACTTCCAAAAAAGTCATTTTTCAAAAATTTTGTGTGTCGTGACGTCATAAAATTTTGAATAACTCCCACATTTTTGAACCGATTCTTCTAAAATTTGGTATGTAGGTGCACATAGACCACTTCTCTGACATATATTCCGGTTTTTTCGATAGACTCAAAATTTTGGATTTTATAATGATTTTCCCAAAAAAGTCAGTTTTTTGAAAAAATTTAGGCCAAAATCCAAAATTTTCAAAAAACCGAGATAGCCATTTGAAAGACAAAGTAAAATTACGTATAACCTTTTTTGTTACGTCTTGATTCCTTTAAAAATGAAGATGTTAGCGGCGTTTGAACTTTTGCCGTTTTTGAGGCGAAAATGGCGAACATGACGTCACTAAAACGTCAATTTCTCAAAAATTTTTCCGATGGATTTCGCTCAAATTTTCAGGGAACGTGTCAAATTGATGTAAGAAAAGGTACTGAAAGTTTGGCGGCGCTGCGCGCCGCCGTTTTTGAGATATCGCAAAAATTCGCGAGGGGGGGTAAAATTTACCCCCCCCCCAGCCCCGCGCGGGTTAAAATAAAGTCCCGGAGGTCTTCTTTGTAGAGGGCCTATCGACTGGTAGGCACAATCCGCATGTATGATCCCGCAGCGTGATGTGACCTACAGTTTCAGCTGGGAGCGGGCCTTGTCCAGGATGTCCTTGCGGATCTTGGGGTAGTCGGGGAATTTCTCCATCACCTGGTGACACACGTCGATGGCGTCCACGTACCGCTTCGCCTTCAGGTAGTTGAACGCCAGCTTGAAACCTGTCCGCACAGAATAGTGCCGTGTGAAAGCATCATGATGTGAAAAATATCCACCGGCTGGACAGCGTGCAGAAAAAGCGCATTGGAAGCACATAGTCGGATTCATCTACAGCCATCCAGCCCCAACTTCGATCTCATGCCCTAACCACATTGTGATCGTTCTCGCTCTTCAGATTAAAACGGAAAAGCTCTTATTTTCCCAATTAACCGAACACTTCTCAAATCATGTTATTATTTCATTCCACCCACCGATGACTGGGTTGCTGTGCCGACTGAAGCGCCACGACATCTCGTAGTTCTCGGCCGCGTCCTTGTACGAGCTCTCCTTCTCGTGGATGAAGCCGGCGTACTCGTGCGCCTTGCCGCACGAGCGGTTGTGCTGCAGGATACGCTGCAAGGCGCAGGGAGGTGCCGGGTTAGCTTCACAAGAAAATATCGGTAGAGGCAGAGCGTTGAACATTTGCGCAGTTTCATGTGTATTATATAAATATGGTGCAGCTGACATTGCTGTGAAACACTCAATGCAACGATGGCTGCCCCACCGTGTGTTGCTAAATATAACAGATGGTTGACATTGCGTGCCTACAAGCTGAGTACGCTGACCTCTAAATAAGACACACACCTGATTATCCGTAAACAAAGTTCATTCCCTTGCCCAAAGTCCGTACGCAAATCAAATACGCCTCGCTCACCCGCCGTTCCGTGCCATCTCGGCCCTCCCCTCTCAGCCAATTGCTCTCACACCATCAGTCACCTCCCAGTCCAACAAACCCCCACCCACCTGAATGACGTCCTGCGCCAGGTCGTATTTGCCCGACTGGATGTAAATGTCGGCTAGCAGCAGCCAGCAGCGCTCCAAGTACTCGGCGTCCTCAAAGTTCCACGTGTTCTTGGCCACACGCTTCAGCTGGTTACGGGCGCGGGGAGTCTGAAAAGCGGTAGAGATGCACAGTCGTTATGAGAATATGCATCGAAGTACGAGGCATGACACAGTACACACAAGGCATGAGTTTGGCGAGCTTGGTGATCGAATCACATGTCAGGGAATCACATCACGGCGAATGCATCATTAAACTTTTGCCATAGCCCGCAAGTCTACAATATTGACTCATGTTATTACGGAGCGAGCGAAGCGAGCGGAGTCTCATACTGAATTAAGGGAAAATCCTGAGTATGAGCGGCCGGCCGGCCGGCCGGCCGGCCGGCCGGCCGTGGGGACGCTCTTCAAAAGCTAATATCTTAGGAACGGGACATCCGATTGACAAGCGGTCTTCTTTACTGAATGTCACTTGGACGTAAAAGTTCTGTGGTGTGATGGCCACCATGCGTTCTTGCCAACCACCGCACGTGGCGCGTGGTAAAGTTGGACATTTTTTAAGAACCCCCAAAATTGCAACCTCAATAACGGCACAACGGTTGGGCCGATTGAATTGAAACTCGGTACACAGTTATGTCTCCATCAGATAATTCATCTGCATGTGTTAAGGTTGGGGTGCTACAGCACGTGCGCACGTGCAGGGGGCGCTCCCAGATCTCGAGAACGGCTGGGCCGATTGCGCTCAAATTTGGTACACGGTTGGGGACCAGTTAGTAGGGTGCAGTGCAAAAGTCAGTTTGGACCCCGCTTGCACGTGCGCACGTGCAGTGTGCCGTTTCCAGATCTCGAGAACGGCTAGGCCGATTGCGCTGAAATTTGGCACATCGCTAAAGACCTGTTAGTAGGGTGCAGTGCACAAGTTAGTTGGAGGTACCCCCTCGCAATTTCGCACGTGCAAGGCCCATCCTCTCGCTCGCTCCGTTGGTCGCCCAAAAGGCGTTTTACTGGTGAGACTACAATATTAGTGAAAGATCACGCCACTGTTTTGGTAATACAACTGGATTGGGTTTGTCATAAAACACACCGACCCCCCCCCCCCAGATACGACGCTCCTGGGCGATAAATCACATCATCGACTCGTTCTTGGTTGCTGGGAGTCGAGAATTCGGTCGGGTATCATTCTCAGTCAGACACAACGTAAATCGCGTCCACCACCCAACAAAAGCTTCCAGGACGGCCAGGGCTGTTCACGGGCCCTGTGTGCGGTCGGACCGCACACAGCCTCCAAGCTCCGCCCACTGCGTCCCTACGTCAGCCTTCCGTCACCGCACACAGCGATCGCTGTGGCCGGTCGGGACTGGCCACAGCGGACCGGCCACCGCACGCAGCCGTGACGTCAGAGCCGCCTACCCATTCCCTACCCCCACGCCTGCTGGACGCACCGCACACACCGCACGCAGCAGTGTGCGGTGCCCGTGAACACCCCTCCGGTTTAGCGCGATCGCACCTGTTTGAGCAGCATGTAGGCGGTGGCCATGCCGCAGATGGCGCCCACGTGGTCCTTGTACGTCTCCGAGCTGGCGATGTTGGTGAACTCCTGCAGCGCACGCTCCATGTTGCCTTTGTTCTTGGAGGCCAGCAGCAGGAAGTTGGTCAGCAGCTGGTGCGAGATGGTCTGGTCGCCCGGCTTCGGCTTCAGCTCCTGATGGTATGGCGGGTTGATTAGGAGCGTGCTGACATTTTGTTGGGGTGTGTGAGCCCGAAGCCGGCTACGGCTAAATCGGTTTATCATCCGGATCTACATACATTGTGCTCTAAATGTTTCAACGAATTTCGAGCTAATTCTGAGCAGCAATGTAGGTACAGTTCTAACGCCTCGTATAGTAGCTGGATCAGGATCGTGGATTTTCATTATACATTCGGACAACTTGAACGGGAGCCTGACATATTTTTTTTTACACATGACCTGCACAGTGCACAGTCTGTATACGGCAGGCATTATGTAATGTTTTCCTTTCACGATGAAAACTCGACGTAGGCACACGCGCGGTGGCCTTGCCGCTCATCCAACGTGTCCATAAACTGTGCACTAACCTGGAGCAGTTTGTCGGCCGTCCTGAGCGCCATCTCCTGCGAGTTTTTGACGTCCGTGTCGGCGAGATCCTCCATTGCCTCGAACGTCTCGCCTCCGATGGTCATATTGTCCGGATTCAGGCAGATCTGAGAGCACACAGACAGACAGAGAGCTTTACAGGAGTGTCAGTGAGGGGAGGACACGGGGCTCAGCAGGCTGGCTGAAGGCGGCAGACACGCTGTAAGGAATGACGAGAGCCTGGCGTCATGATGACGAGTGAAATGACGACTGTTTTTTTAATCAATCTGCGGGAGGACATGCACCAGTGAGGACGTTACTAGAAAAGGCTGCGAACGTAACCAATACTCAGGTGAGCGGGAACATCTCTGACCATCTCGTTTATTCCAACTCATCAAGTCGATTTTTTGCAACCTTCCGTATCTGCTAGCGCAGTGAATAACTAGGCACCAGCATCGCGGAATATTTAAGTAGGTAAAAACAAAAACGCTCCGGCTGAGAAGTGAGAGGCGATACTCCATGCAAAACAAGGCTACGTGAAGCCAATAAATAAGCAGCGTTACAACACGAGCTTCCCGCAGAAAAATCTCCAATAAGCTTTGACCCCGACGTGATTTGAACACGCAACCTTCTGATCTGGAGTCAGACGCGCTACCGTTGCGCCACGGAGTCGACGGACAGTCCGGATCCTCTTCGAACGAGGAGGCAGGGAGACAAACTACACTAGGATCCCACCGGGTCCCCGTAACCCACATGCGCTGGTAAGCTACTCTGGGTAAACTCACGTTGATCATGTGGTAGATGGCCCGCTGGCCCCACTCGGGGTCGCGTCGGGCCTGGTTGAAGTACTTCAGAGCACCGTTCGGGTTGCTCGAATACCTGGCGAGCGCAAACAGAGCATTTTAAAAGTCTACCAAAGTTTGTGCCTATGTTATGTCCAGGTTATGTCCAGATTATATTAGGTTATGTCCAGATTTCACAGGCACCACCTGTGAGGTATTAGGTGCTTATATCCTCAGGATACTGAAATCCTTCTCCTCCACGCCGCAACCCCCTCCGGGCTGGACAGGCAACTTTATCTCATGCGGGCTGCTCCCTTGGAGCGGCATCGCTGCTCCCGAGGGAGCGCACCCCGTAGCCGAGTGCAGTGAGTGCCTTGGGGCTGGGTGGCCTGTCCTCTGGACGGGCTCAGCCCCGGCGACTCACTAGGGTGCCTGCCCAGACCAATGTCTCCCCCTATATCCTATCATCCTCCCGGCTCTGAAATGGTCTTGCCAGACCGAAAGGGCCTAACCCAACAAAAAAAAGATTTCACAGGCTAAAAGGAAAGGCAATAGCGACGAATCATAAACCAGTACCAGGTTAGGGACACAAAGCTAACGCACCACAAACACCTCGGTTAAATTCTGGAGTTTAGTTCAGCTTTCGTTCTAAGCTCCGGTCAGGACGATAGGAAACTGAGTCAGCTTAGAGTACGTCAACTCCAGGACACAAACTCATCGATTTCACAAGAAGCCATCACCAAACCGCTCCAAAACATGGCACCCAAATACCACCAGTGTCATGACAAATCCCCGGTTCCCCACGCACCATTCATAGAGCGCCTTGCAGAAGGCCAGGCCGGGCTCTGTGGTGCCGCGCTGGCTGGCTTTCTCGGCCTTTTCCAGGTAGTCGGGCACCTTCTCCAGGTGGCCGGTGCGTCGCATCACCTCCACCAGGCGCGCCAGCGCGGCGAAATAGTCCGGACGGCGCGCTGTCCGACACGCAAGGACGGGTGAGGTTCAGTGGGAGTTTGCGTAATTTGTCATTTGTCAGCTATAACTCCACCGCATCGGCAAAAAAAAAAAAAAACAAAAAAAAAACGAAACGACCTTAGATAAGCTGAAACCGTATTATAGTTGCAGTGCTCGTTAGAAAATTGTTAGAAGGCTACACACTACACAGTACACATGCTCATGCGCTCCAAACTTCCTACAGCGTACCAAGAATAACGTCAAGTCTCCTGTGAGTCAAGCACGTATCTCCCTCTCTCTCTCTCCCTTTATTGTGCCGGGCTCTATCGAGCATTTACGCACAGGTTCGGGGTAAGTCAAAGAGGTCAGACACACACGCACAGCATCACATCATGCGACATTGGGACTGCTTAATGCCTTACTTTGACAAAGGGGTGAGTAACACATTGAAACAAATGTAATAATGCAACAAAAGTCATAAGGGTACCTAGTCGTTTCTTGCGTTTTGTAGATATCGGTCAGTCAGAACTGACGGCTGGCCAAAGCAGCCTTGAATGAGTCGAGAGAGGTGGCACCCGCAGTTTCCTGTGGGAGATTGTTCCAGAGGCTGATGGTTGATGGGTAAAAAGAGTCTTGGTAGCATTTAACGCGACTTGCTGGCAGTAGGAACCTGTGGTTATGTCCTCTTGTTCTTCTTTGGGTGGGCTTAAGAAGAACAGTTGGAATATCCATCAGGTTGTGTGATGCGCGGTAGAGGTTCGTCAGTTTTGCACGCTGTCTTCGACTCCTCAGGGAATCCAGACTCAGCGCATTCAGCATGTTTGTGACGCTGCTTCGTCGATCGTAGTCTCCTGTGATGAATCGTGCTGCTCGACGCTGTACAGATTCAACAGCTGACACACGAGCCTTCACAGAGTTGTCCCACACTGTTGCTGCGTATTCAAGCTGGGGTCTGATCAGCGTCTTGTACGCTGTTAGACGAATCTTGAGCGGACAGTGTGAGATGTTTCTTCTTAGAAAAGCCAGGGTGTTCGATGCCTTCCTACTGATGTTGTTGACCTGTTTCTCCCATGACAGTTTGCTGTCGATGTCAAGGCCTAGGTATTTGATGCTGTCAGATGTTCTTAACGCTTCACCATGGATAGAGTAGTTCTTAGTTATGAGTGATCTCTTAGTTATGGGATATCTCCCAAAGGCATTTGATCTCACTCACATGTCACGTGAACCATTGACTGGTCTACTCAGTTTCACAAGACCGTCTAGCCTCGCTCTCCGCATACCCATCATCCAACTCACTGAGCAGCTCCTGGAAGTGGAACATGGCCGTCTCGTAGTCGTTTCGTCTGAAGCTCAGATCTGCCATCATCACGGTGGCCAGGTCGTTCTCCTTGTCCAGGCGCAGCAAGGTCATACACGTGTACTGGCACTGGTCCAGGTCACCCGTCTGTGGACGGAGGGATGGTCGCACGTCAGGTCAGGTCAGCTCTCGTAATGTGACATTGGTGGCCAGGGAGGACCGTAAATTCACAGTCACACGTCATCCGTTTAGTAATGGCAACAACCAGGAGGGTACAGTAGACATTTACCGTTGAAGGATCAATTCTCTAACTGCGATGTCGTATTCTATAACTGCGATGTATGTGCATGTTTCTTCTGATATGCTGGCAAACACTACTTGAACGGAATCACACACTTTTCCTGATTGTATTGGGGCTACCCACGTCAGCCGGTAGCCGAGACAACGAAATGTGCACCGATCACGCGCTTCAATGCTTATAACCCACACGCAAAACTCCACTATCAGCTTTACAGCCAGCCGGCCAGCCCCTACTTAACCCCGGCCAGTCGACATCCTACTACTCACCCCCACGCCATCCTTACCTGCATGTAGAGCCGGGCCAGCGCCAGAAGCGCATTGGCGTCGTCGGGCTGGTGCTGCAGCGCCTCCTGGTAGTACTTGATGGCCTGTTCGTAGTTGCGCTGGCTCTGGTAACGCTCCGACATGGTGCAGCAGATCCTACGGCCGCAGGGAAAGTTTCAGTCACGGGGTAGGTGTGGGGTGATGCGGGAACATAAACGAGTCTGCGATAGCCATATCTGACTAACGAGGGAATAAGCAGGGGAGAAGTTAAACCGCCATCTTACAGACAGCTGCTATTCAATTATCGCAAAAGAGGGCGTTTGATCACCGCCAAGGCCGTACGAAAAGGAACAATTAAATAATTTTTTGTCAACACATATTCGTAAGATGATAATCAACGTACCGAAACCAACATCAAAATCTAAATGAACAACACCATCTCCTGAGCGAAGCATGCATCCACTCCACCCACAAACCTCCATTGATCAAGTCCCCAGGTACCCAGCTCCAGTGTCCGATCACTCACTCGGTCGCGCGGGCCTTGTGTTCAGCCACTGAGTCCGGCTGCTCCATCTGTACCCGTTTGAGCACGCGCACCTGCACCTCATTAGCTTCTTTGAGCGTGCCGATCGACTTGTTCACGTCGCCCACCAGGTCATGGATCTGAATAGGAGAGTGGGTGAGTTAGTAGTGTATTGTATTATTGTAGTATTGGCAGGGAGGAAATGTCATGAATTTGATGGACAAAGGAGTTTCTAGGAGGCATAGTAGAGAGCTAAGGGGAGTAAGGAGGAGCATCTTGGACCGGGCGTGTAAGTGGGGATGAGCTATTTATCGATCTGGTTACAAATAAACTCACTGTATCAACCACGATGATTTGCACGTTAATACTGCTACCCATTCAATCCATAGCACGCTCAGCAGAACACTAACGGCGGAGAGAGAACACCGAATTTAAAGACATGTCTACAACCCACTGCCCGACATTTACAGACTAAACAGATCGAGTCGATTTATCAACTTCGTGTCATCGAGATACCTTTGCGAGAAGCTTGAGCAGCTGCGCCTGCATGATGAGGCTGGCCAGGCTGCTGTTGTCCTCACCCCTGATCTTCTCCATGGCCTGTACCACTGTCTTCTCAGCCTTGTCGTACTGACGCATCCGCATCTGCAGCTCCGCCATGTCGTACCTGAACGACACGGAGCGGTAAAAAGGCGCCATAAGCAGCGCAGTCACATAGTCGACGAACATTTAGTGACTGTTTGGCGAAGCTTCTGTATGGGTCCTTCTTCAAAGTTTAATTAGACTAAATGCGCAGTGTCACGGTTGACCATTGACCAACGGCAGTAATGCAAGTGCATTGACTTTGCGTGCGAGTCTTCTCCTACCCCTGCACCAGGCCCTTCACACTCTACCACGATCTACTAAGTCCTCCATTTCAGTCAGAGAGACATGGCCATCGATAACTGAGGTATGGGAGCCCTGACAACTCTGAAAACGGAAGACAATTATCATTAATTTCATCTCAGTCCAAAATATAGCCAGACCCTCAGAATAAGCCCTGTCCCGTCCTCTTTACCGTCCCACCCACCGCAAGTTGTTATCCTCGCCGACTTTGATGGCCTCCTTGTAGTAGTTGATCGCCTTTCCGTAGTGGTGCGTCTTGACCAGGGCGCGGCCCATCTTCAGGGCCAGATCGTGGTCGCGCGGGTTGCGCTTCAGGGCGGACTCGTACACCTCGATGGCCTTGTCCGGCTCTAGGATAGTCATGTAGGCGTCGCCGAGCATCAGGTAGGAGGCCGGCGTTGGAATCTGGTCCACAATCTCCCTGTACAATTGGGGCACATCGTGATACAGTGTTGTATGACTATGAAGCGTGCTGGAATGGGGGGGGGGGGACGCGCGGCCTTTGTGCGGTGGGTTTTTGTACGCAGAAAGAACCATCATATCGAAGAGGGACCGTTTGGTCAGAACAGATTGTCCAACAGTTTGTGCCGGACATGTGACGTAAAGCAGCCTGGTGAACGAAGCATAACTGCCCATGACGATATTTCCCTCGTAAAGTGAACGCGTCATAAAATCAGTGTCATGACGCGCCCGCTGCATCCGCTGTTGTTACACTCAATTGACACAGTTCGCCGTGCGGGCGGTGATGACTCAGCCATCAGCTCTGCTCACCCACTCACATCCACTCCTATCATGGGCCAGCGAGCCAAGCTGCGACCGAGTCACGGCAAGCTGCTTCAGATTCGAGACAGGACGAGGCAGGTCTCTTTTGTTTGCTAGATAATGTCTAGCCGCTGCTTTGCCTTAAAAAGTTTTTTTTTTCTATGAACAAATACCCATTCTAAAAATAGATCGTAGACCGGGAGCAGCAAAAAATCAGATAAGAAACTGTACACCGTGTTTTTTCAATAATCATCAACATCATGAAAAAAAATACTGGAGGTAATCGAACAACAATAGTCGATGTCGAAATGACAGCAGGAGTTAACAGACAACGCCACACCGGCGTTCACTTCACAATCGTGAAGTCCACGATTCTCTGTTTATTTTTCCTACGTAGGTATCTGGATCTGAGCGAGTGTTTCAAGCAAAAAGTCACTTCAAACACAATACCCGAGGCATATTCCAGAGAATCTCTGGAATGTGGATACTCAAACATGTAGATGTGGATACTCCTAACATCGTTACCCACCAATACCTCCCTGTGAGCAGCCCCTCCAACCTCCCCCCAGCAGTCCCTCCCGCCGGCCACCACTCACTTATACATGGCGGCATACATGCGCCGGTCCTTGAGATAGTCGAAGTAGATCTCGGCCATCTTCTCGCGCGACTGCAGGTAGTAGGGCTGGTCCGGCGTGATGTTACGCAGGCTGCCCAGCGCCGCCGACACCTCGTTACGGGCCAGCAGCAGGTCGGCGTTGGCCACGATGATACGCACCTCCTCGCCGGTACCCTAGGCAGAGTAAAGGAGGGGTGAGAGGGGCAACGGGCATGGTGAGAGGGCAATGTGGAGCGAGGGTGTTGATGTTTGGAGTTATCGAAAAACACCGGTCAGCAAAAGACCAGAAGGAGGGAAGAATGAGCGACAGCACAAAGGAGGCCACTCAGGAAGACACGAGAAATGTTCACAGACATTACCGAAACCGAATGTACAACAGTTCACGTGCAAATACATTTTTAATGACGTTTTCACACGACGCAGAACAAGAGAACGCATAAGCGCACGCGATATTAGCTCCCATAGTCAACAAATAAGTCTTCCTAGCACATCTCGTAATAGCCCAACCATGCCTCTACCTGTCGGTCTCACCTTGAACATGAGCGTGGCCTCTTCCATGACCTGTTTAGCGTCGGCCTCCTGGTTGGCCATCCGGTAGGCGTCGGCCAGCTCCAGGTAGATCGACACCTTGTCATTGTCGTTCACGTCGATCTTGCTCTTTGGCGTGGAGCCTGAACGGACGGCAAGGACACGGGGTTAATTGAATGAGTCAGATCAATGCGTCATAACATGACTTTGTCAAGAATTGTGGCATGCAAGTGACAAGCAGCTGCTCAGACTTATTTCCTCTTTTAAACAAAGCATGGGTGCTCATACGAATGTAAAAGAGCATAACACGTGAAAAAATTTCGACGCGTTTCCTAAATTTCATGACTTGGGTATCCACACCTTCACAAGTACACTTCTATACCAACGCCCATCATCGCTGTTCGAAATTTCGACAGCACATAATCCCCATCGGTCGGCGCACACTGTACACAGCTTCCCCCCCCCCCCCCCCCGCCGAACCGGCTGAACCCACCAGCTCCCCGAACCCACCATGACCCGGCTGCTACAGCCCCATCAGCTCTGACCTGCCGAGAGGTCCCAGGTCCCCGATAATAACCCCACCGCTCGAGTTTCTGCACCTTTGACCACTCCAGCGGTCCCAGGTCCCCCGATAATGACCCCACGGCTCGAGTCTCCGCACCTTTGACCAGCCGAGAGGTCCCAGGTCCCCCGATAATGACCGAACCGCTCTCGAGTCTCCGCACCTTTGACCAGCCGAGAGGTGAGACCTGCCAGCTGAATAGCCGTGTGAAGCGTCTGTATGGCCTCCTGAGCCTGCTTCTCCCGCTTCTGAATGCGGGCCCGGATCAGATGAAACAGCGGGTGGTCCTTGATCTGCAGACCAGAAACTGGTGTCAGACAAGAGAGCATGCAACTCGATAGTGATAATCTGGTAGCGACTTTAGACGGAAATGGGTAAAAGTTCGTTCAAACATGAATGAACATAAAACACCGTAGGTCGCAGTTATCGGCACACCAAGTGATATTTGGTGATGCTTATAAAGCCTAGAGCAGCATTCCTGCGTGGACGGCACTTACCTCAAAGTTGTAGCTAAGTCCCAGCTCCAGCGACTGGGATGCCTGCTTGAAGAAGCCCTGGTGAAGCTGGATCTGGGCGTTCAGCAGATGGGCGTCCGCATACGACTGGTCTGTAATGAGCCGTCAATTGGAACGTCACTCAACAGTCAACACTGATCCACTCACTCAGCGAAACCCACAAAAAAGTGACGGGAACAACACCGTCACAACACCACTTTCGATACAAAATAACGGCTCAAACTTAAATCACCTTCTTCAGAGAACCGATGAAACGCAACAAGACTTTAACTGTGAAAATCACACTTTTCGAAACAAACTCAAGCATGCATCTAATAAAACTTATGAAGCCACATCCTTCACCCACCAAATCTCCTCACAGGGTCATAACAACTACACATATCCTTGCATGACACGTACCGACGTGATCGATGCAGTGTTTGAGTGTGCTGGCCGCCGCCTTGGCGTCGCCGCTCAGATACTTGGCCTTGGCCATCAGGTAGAGTGCCTCCAGCAGGCCCGGACATGACTTGGTCACCGGTTCCAGTACCGTGATGGCTCGCTTCAGAGAGACTGGGATGGCGGAGCCCAGTGGCACCGGCTGGAACCGAGGAACACAGTGCGTGAGTCATGACTAAGATCACTGACACCAAACAATACTCACAAACTAGTCTAGGCTATCGTGACCAGTGACCATCACCAGCCCTAGCCTTCAAATAGGGACATAATTCAGGCTTAGAAATCAGACACGAACTAAGCCCAGAGACCAACGCAGCGTAAGACGGTGAACTACAATGAGTCACCTGAGGTCAATGCTCTGGTGGTCAGTGCAAACGATGCGACACCACATCGTCCACCCACGTCTGCTGTGTGGCGCAGAACATGCCGCTTTTCACTAGCTCTAGCATTGACTCGTCAGTGCTGAAGCTGTGAAACATGTTTGAGCTGATCGGCGCTCAGGATGTGGCCCACTTCATGCGTCATTCCCTATGGTCACGTGGACGATAACGGCGATATTTTGGGGACACCGATGGCCACTTAGTCACTAGACGGCGGTCCGTGCAAACTAGAAGCACGCCCCCGCAGTATTAGCGCACTAGTCCTTGTATAGGCAAAGTTCGTCGCCAAACAAGATTGTCCACTTGCAACTGCTTCAGCTCATGATCTTCCATTAAAGATTAACCACTTGCAACTGCTTCAGCGCATGACCTTCCCTTAGCAACTTAAGACACATAAAGCACATGCGCCAAGTCGCAGTTCATGGATTCATTATAATCAAACACTTGCTATTGCTCGATTTCATCTCTAAACCACACTGACATGTGTCCACGACAAGCCCCCCCCCCCTTCCTCCACAAAAAGTCTGCAGTCAGTGGTTAGATCATCACTCCATCCGCTGGCGGGTCGGAGCATCACACGCCTCCTCTCGCTCTCTCCCCTCCCCCAGCTCCTCTCTCCAGTGAGCTGTCGCCGATACCGTCACCCACGCGGACCAGACGTCCGGAGCTGCCGACTCCATATAATCGACAGCGCCGGCGGCGACGGTGCACAGCGGACCACGCGGTCCCTGGGAACCGCCGGCTCAGCGGACTCAGTGGAACTCATAGACTCACTCAGTGGTCTAAGCTCAGTGGATCAGGCTTAGAGAGTCAAGCTAACCGACTTAGATTGGAAGCTCACTTTGAGTGCGTCCGAGTTGACATAATTTGGTCACAACATTGAGCGGACTTCCGCCACAAGTATGACTCGTCAAGTGATCCTCTTGGCAGCGGTGTCTGCGTTCGTCAGCGCCACAGGTGAGATGTGCCAATATGTGGGATCTCTTGTTCACTTGAAAACACAGGAAAAATGGCGCGTCGTTCGGCTGCTTCAGCGGACTGCGAGCCAATCTGCAGTCGGCAATAGGTAACAGCGGCGTATTTAGAAAATCGCGAAGGGGGGGGCAAGGGTTTGGAGGGCGCCACCTCACCCAAGGAGGGCGCCATACGGTCGCGAGATAAAAAATCGCTCAGTGGGGGTTGGGGGGTTGGGAGGCGTTTTTTACCATGCCACCAGTTTTTTTTTTTTGCGTAACCTCGTATAGGTCGTGCTGCATTGATTTTGCATCGTGTGTATTCTTTATACTCCAGGTCACAAAAGGTCAAGTGTTCTTGAAATGCTGCGCCGAAGGCGCGCGAAATTTTTGAAAACAACCTTTTCCTCCGCTTTTTAGGCACGCCTTTTATACGATCACTGTTCAAAGCTCCTCTCGCTCTTTTACCAAATTTGAAGGTGTAAAAAATACCTAAGGTTTGGTCGGGCCGCTGCCACACAAACTGTACAGAAAGCTTGGCTCATGGGTGTCGATGTATAAAAGTTTATTGGCGGTGGCATATCTACGCACCAGATCACCGTATCGGATTGATACCGGAGCGCGAGATGCGTAAACATCATCCAAATTACCTCAGACCAGCCTTCATAGCCTTCTCACAGATGCATACAGTGTACCCACATAACCAGTTTCAATCACCGAAACTTCAGATGCCTGCTGTTGCGCCCGAACCTGTTGACAATACTTAATCGTAATCCATATAGATGCCATGATGCACGTAAAGTAGGATCAATCCGTTAAGACCAAAGACGTGTTTTATGCATCGTAGAGCGTAGATAGTTTTGGTAGGTATAGATACTTCATTCATTGTGCTGAATGCACGTTCATTTGTGGCAGTTTTCACAGGCAAGACATCAACTATGTGCAATAGAACGACTAAGTTGAAAAGCATGCCAAAGGAGTAAATAAATGATAGGAGGGCAGCGATCAACGGATGTTGCCAATAGGTAGAAGGGCTGCGATCCACAGGAGGGCACTAATAGGTAGAAGAGCCCCGATCAACATCCCGAGTTTCGACAGTAGGGCACCGATAGGTAGGAAGTTGGCGAGCAGCAGGAGGGCGCCAATGGATAGAAGGGCAGCGATCAACAGGAGGGCACCAATAGGTAGGAGGGCGCCGATCAACAATCAACAGGAGGGCGCCACCAGGTAAGAGGGTGGCGAGGAACAGGAGAGCACCAATAGGAGGGTGGCGATAAACAAGAGGTCGCCAATAGGTGGGAGGGCGGTCATCAACTGGAAGTCGCCAATGAGCGGAAGGGTGACGATTAAAATGGGGGTGGCAATGGTGAGGAGGGCGCCTTTGCTCAAGAGGATGACACGAACAGGAGGGCGTCTGTGCGGAGGGCGCTGGTCAACAGGAAGGTGCCAGTGGATAGGAGGGCGGTGATCAACAGGAGGGTGCCAGTGGTTAGGAGGGCGGCGATCTACACGAGGGCGCCAATAGGAGAAGGGCCCCGATTAGCATTCAACAGGAAGGACTAGGGAACCAATAGGTAGGAGGGCGGCACTGAACAAGAGGGTGCCAAAAGGGAGAAAGGCGGCCTTCAAAATTTCACATGAGGGCTCAATAGGTAGGAGAGCGCCAATAATTATGAGGACGCCGATCAGCAGAAGGGCGGCAATGTGTAGCAGGGTGGCGACCTACAGGAGATGGCGCCTTCGGGTGAGAGGGCGCTTATTTACAGGACAGCGGCTTACATAGGCGACCACCGTTACGCTTAGAGAGCTACAGCCTACAAATGTGGTTGGAGGGCGCCCGAGGGAGCCCTCCAACCGTATTTGGAGGGCGTATTTGGAATGGGCGTCCTCCGAGGGCGCCCTCCATCCGTATTTTCCCTGTAAACACATTCGCGATTGGAGGGCGCCCTCCAGTCGCGATTGTTTTTCGATTCGATTATATCACAATTGCATTTGCGATTGGAGGGCGCCTTCGGCGCCCTCCAATCGCAAAGGGCGCCTTCGGCGCCCAAGGGGGGGGGCCATGGCCCAGTGGCCCCCCCCCTGCCTACGCCCCTGATAGGTAATGCCTATGGCCCATCCTAGTCAGCACAAAGAATACATAGGCCTTCAGCTAACGTTGCTCGGTTAATATAACACTTATTACTCATAATGACATGCAATAGAAATATATCCCATCGTGGGGTGAAGGAAATCTCAGAAAACTGGCTTCCATAGCAGGCTTTGCCAATGGTTCTATATAGCTCTGCATACCAACCGAGGTTTCGCTGTATTTTCAGCCGCTTCACTGCGTCTGAAACCAGCTCGGAGTGAACTAAGCCCGTCACCTCAACCACGCTTTGGATCGGGTTTGGTCCATGAGAACTCCTCGGAAAATGACAGAAGACTCCATGTTCAAAGCTACGACAAAGTGAATCCCGAAAAGCCAGGTAAGGTACAAAGAATATGCCACCTCTCATAGCAGCTCAAAAAATGATAGAGCCTCATATGCCATTTTAATCGAGAAATTGTTCTTAACTCTTGACAATGGACAAGTTATCACGGCATAAAATAGATATAAATTAACCATCGTTTATTATCAAAACTATTAAAATTGTTATAACCAACCAATATAACAACATATAGGTCAGGGGCGGGCAAACTTTTGGGAGCGCGGGCCGGGTGTTGCATTTGTGAGCAACTGGGGGGCCGGAGTGCTAAGCTCGCCAGAGTTTCGTTTGGCAATGACTTAAATGGTCAATGGATGCTATGTTGCTATGACGCGACTGACCAACGACGGGCAATGACTGGCTCAGACAGAGACAAATACTTATAGTAACACTTACAAACGAATGACTTTTGACCCATGACAACCATACTAAAAATCAAGTCTGCTTATGTAAAATGCACAGTGCACACACACACACACACACACACTAGGAATCATAGGTCTCGCGGGCCGGATTGCAATGCTGGCTGCCTATCCAGGCCACGCACACTGGTCGGAAACGCTCCAGCGAGAGGCCAGCGGCCTTTCCGCAAAAGTTTTTTGCTTGTTATTCCACAACTAGTGAAGCAAACTTCATAAAACTTTGCATACCTTCTCTGTCATATGTAAGCTATGATTTGGATGTCAAGCACTAAATATATGACGTGAATCTGCTAAGTTATGACGTCATAATTGAGTATAATACAGGATCTAGCACCACTTTAAGTCAACAAGGGAAATTGGGAGCTGCTATTCGGGCACCGGGAATGGTTTCATGCACTCCTTGCAAGGTCCAGTGCTTGACTTTAGCATTGTTGACTTTGCGTGACGTCATTTATGACGTCACTAAGGCCATGTAAGTTTTTCGCCAATAACTCCTGATCAGATGGAGCTAGAGAGTCGGGAAAGCTACCATTGGACTCAGGAAGACCTGCCGAATCGAATGATATGCGATATGACCTCCGTCAACCATTTTCGTGACCTGGGCTCCGACCTGAGCTTGACCCGAGGTTAACACCTTAACCCTCGCCGGCACAGGGGGGTTGATGCAACCCCCCCCCTAAGGTTTTCGCGAATAACTCGCGTAAAAGCGGCCGATCGCGACGAAACTTTCAGTACCCTCGCATTGATCAATTTTACACCTACCCTGAAAATTTCATGATCCTGACCCCAATGACCTTTGACCTGTGACCTCTTTTCCGTGACCATGTTTGGCCGAAATCGCGATTCGGCGTATGTCGGCTCGCATTAGCCGCGCGTTTGCAAGCTTTTCGTGGTTTCAAACGTTTAAACATGTGATTTGATGTTGCTCCCATACATTAGGATGGGTGTCAAGGTGAAGGTCAGGTCAGGTCATTGACCTTTGGTGACCTCGGGTGACCTCGGTTCACTTTTTCGAGTTTTACATGTTCTAGGCTAGTTTTTTTAGCTGAATTTTAATTTAGCAACCATTTGAACATTTACGAAATAGTTTTGGCGCCTTCGTAACATGTTACGAAGCTGTCAGAGGCGGTTGACACGTATTACGAATACCCGTCACAACCCCTACCGGTTGACCTGACCTGACCTGACCCGACCTGGTCTAAATGCTTAAAGACATCATCTCTGATCAAAACTAATACGATATTCGTGATCAGCACCCCGGAAAACCACATAGCAGCCACAATTTACGACTTTCTAACAGGTCCCGATTTTCCCGGTTTTCGGGTCATTGACCTGACCTGGAAGGTCACCCGATGACCTAGGACCTTAAAATTGGGTATCATCGGCTTCCTCTCGTGACGGGCAACACGCTCCTTTTTCCGCGAGGCTCTAGCTCGATCAGGGGACAAACGCGAGGGGGGTCGTACCACCACCCCCCCCCCCTTGTGCCGTCGAAGGACGCAAAATGGCCTGTGCCGGACTTCACCCGAACACCAAGTATAGCATTCAACGCGCCTGAGCTAGACAAACACGATTATGCCAAAATCGCGGCAGTGCGACCATTTTTGGCAAAGTAATTAACCTAAAACCGAGCCCGTGCCTTGTGGCACTTACCTGACCTAAGAGGTCACTGGCTGACCTAAGACCTTAAAATCGGGTAGTACCTAATTTTTGCGTCTTATAACGGCACACAAGCTTGCTTTTTTTCCGCGAGGCTCTAGCTCAATTAGAGGCGAAACGGCGAGGGAGTTGTACCAACCCTCCCCGGTCAATGTAGAAAACCAATCGGTCCGGCCAGGGTTAAATACCGGAATTGTGATCTAATGTAAAAAGACGGCCCAAGGTAACCCGACGTCAGTGACAGGTGTCCTATATTTGCAGCGTCTTATATTCACGAAGGTTTCAATTTCCACTTTCTTCAGCCGAGTGATGGTTGTCAATAGCCGTAATCGCCACGCAATATGTGGAAGGCTTTTGGTGTCAATACATACATAAATGCATACATAAAACGCGCTTTTCACAAAATTCATAAACTCAAGCGCATCTGTTTTTAATGACCAGTCAACTACGCATGGATGCGTGCAGGCCACACAGGTCAGCGTAAGCCGTGCGCGGCGGCCGAGCCGAAACTGGGGCGGGGCGGGCGGTAGTTGGGTAGGAAGAGCGGCTCCTGCAAATTTTGCGCAAATATGCGCAGTTAGCTTTTATGTTCCCCTGGAGTAAATTTAAATCCTACTTCATCTCACAAAAAATCAGAGTGGAACTAGATGGGACTACCTGTTGTTTTCTTACCTAAACTTTGCAGTTATATTCCAGAATCACTGTAGGAGAGCCTTCATAAAAAAGCTATAGTACATCTTAGTTAGGGAAAAAGTATACCAAAAATTTTGCACTGACCAGTCGGCAACTTCATAACGAACATTTTGATGCATAATATGTGGGATTTCAATTTAGTGTCCATCAGCAATAAGACTCTGAATATCCGGCTCAAGAAACCTCTTGCTCCGCGTCAGTTTGCGAGTTCTGGGATACCCCATCTTCGGGGGCTGATTACAGCTATTTTTGGTCATCCGGATTAGTTTTTTTGGCCTAAGTATAATAATTTGATCAATTTCAAATCGATCTATATAAAAAATAATCCGAAACTCCGGAATCGCCCGTGGCCTCTCGTAAGGGCGTTTCCGACCAGTGTGCCACGGGCCGGACGCCGGAGCTTGGCGGGCCGCATCCGGCCCGCGGGCCGGACTTTGCCCGCCCCTGATATAGGTAATGGGCTCGTTTTCCACCAAATGAGACTGAATACTGGACAGGGTTTCAATGCGACTGATGGTTGTCTATTTTGTTGCAGAGTTGATTCCGCTTCCGTCGAGCCTGCCGCACAGTGCTTCTGACCACAATTTTGAGGAAGCCATCATTCTTCATCATTATGAACATCAGCGACGGGAGTACCAGCATCACGAACCGGAAAACAATGAACACAGAGCTAGCATGTGGAACAGCTTCGATCCCAGAGGACACGGTTTGGCGCACGATGACCAGCTTCAGAGAGGTGGCCGTGAGAAAAGAACCTTACACAAAATCTGGAGGGGACTGGACAAATTTGGGAGAGGTAAGCCAAGACGGTAAGGGTGCAACGAGCGACAGAAATAAGAATCACTTGTAAAATAACCTTTGTACCAACCTTTATTATAACACCTCATGAATATATGTAGAAGCCGAAGGTTAAAATACAGCTGTGATACAGGACTGTCACAATTACCGACAATATGTCAATCCGTTTCCACAGGCATAAAGAACATGCTGCTTCCCACCCGGCGGCCCGGGCCGCTGCCTGGACTCGCTGCGGACCAACCAGCACCGGATCCAGGACCCTGGAGTCCATCGGTCCCGGGATACGGGACTGCAGGAGGCCCAGGATACTGGGTTCCAGCCGGCGATGGACCGACAGGACACTGGATCCCGGCCGGCCTGGAGCCGCCGGCCGCTCAGCCCACAGCTCCTGTCTGGACGGACTGGTACGGCTCGAGAGATAGAGACACAACGCCACACCCCCAATGGTGGACATCCGCGACCTGGACTGCAAGTCCGACCGCAGCTTGGACTACAACTTCCTCGCCGGCACCTACCACCACGACTCCTTCCCCAGAGTCAGCAACAACAGCCACACCAGCACCCACATCTACAGCGGCAGCCGCCGCTACCACCGCGGGCAGCCGCAGCGGCGGCGGGATCCTGGTGCTCGTCACCCAGCCCCAGATCAGCGACGGACGACCGGCGTGTCGGCGCGGCTTCACCTATCACGCGGAGAGTCAGATGTGCCACGAGCCCTGTCCGTCAGGCGCCTCGTTCCGGGCACACCTCGCCGCCTGCTACTGCGACCGCGGCGACTACGCCGTCAATTTCTTCCTCTGGCGCTGTGCGCCAGCCGGCGGCGGTACCTGACATATGTAATGTCATGTAACAAAAGTAGCTGCTTGCATGGCGAAGCCGGTGACAGATATAAAAGTGCGAATCGTCCAGTTCATAACCGCTTGTGTCAAATAAAACAAACACTGCAAACGGTAATATGCAATTTTGTCACAGAAAAAGGTCAGGTGGTAATGTGATCATGTGAGTGTACTAAACAGGTTATAATTGAGATACTAAATACCACTTACATAGTTGTTCAGGTTTTAAGGCAATCCGTTGCACTACGGAGGGCTGAAGTGTCGCGAGAATCCAGCTGGGATAAAAAGTCACTGAACGCACCGAAGACACTTAGTGCATTGTAGAAATGTATAAATGCTGCCCGTCCCTGGAATAGATGGCGAAAAAAATGATATTCATAGCAAAAACATGCGCACGGTGTTCGGAAAGCAGATAAAACAAGCAGTTCATCTCGCATAATGGCATTTCAGCCATTGAAAGACAGACAACAGTGCCATTAGGTCGACAATCGACATGTCAGGCCTACATCAATTTCTCGACATTAAGAAGCTTCTGCATCAATACTAAGCATCACAAGTGCTTAGTATTGATGCAGAAGCTTCTTATCAGCACATAACCATAAGAACGAAATACGCAAAGCCTTTGAAAAGTGCAATCATGGAGGTAGGTACACAACTGCCGATATACGAAGTCAAATATTAAACGCGCATGCTCCTAAATCCTAAATTTAGGAGCTCATTGCTCCTAAATCCTTGCGACCGCAGACGCTTAAAAAATATTTCCACAGGATTATCCGAAGGAAATGGCCGCATTGTTAACCATAGGTACTCCTGAAGCGTCCTTCTAAATAATCCACAGCCAGTCCTGTCTATTGGACAGCGCCTGTGTCCAGATGCCTCCCAGATACCTCCCACACAAACCACAGTCCAGTCGCGACTCTGGACCCGTAAAACCTCGACAGGATGCGTTCCGTCGAGCGGCACGGCCCTGCCGCAGCTGCGCAGCCTTCCGCGGCGACCCGGGCCGAGCGGATGCGGGTACGATAGGCGGCGCGGCGCCGGTCACGGCGGCAGAGAGCTGACCCTGCCGGCGGTCCGCAGTCTGCGCAGTCGCAGCGCGCCTGCCGGCCGCGACACACTCAGGATGACCGTGAACAGGCTGCTGCTGCTGCTGGCCGCCCTGGCCGCTGTCAGCGCCGCAGCGGCTGTCCCAGTCGGTAAGAGTTGCTTCTGTGGCTAATAGCGGGTGCGGTGTAATGACTTTGAGCGCATGACTGCTTTGAGATGAATTATGTGATGCTATGCATTCGATATTTCCATAGCGTTGTTACATGTTGCTTTATGACATAAATCTTGCATAACCTGTACCAGACGATTGATATCCTAAAATGAGTTGTCTATCCAAATGTACATTCCTAAAATACCTGCAGAACTTGGCGTACTAAGACAGCAGGTCCCCAGTCCGGTGATGTATGATGCTGAACTTTGACGGTGTGTGTGGTGGGTCTCGTGCTACCGCCATCCCGTAGATCCCCACCCACTCTAGTCACACCATCTGACGCCACCGTCCACCGGCAGCCGTGACTGTGCCTGCCGACCTGGAGACAGACGGGTCGCTGGCGCCGGCCGCCGGGTTCGAGCTGGACCCCAGTCTCCTGCAGCAGACCGGCGCCGCTCTGGCCACTCAGCACAGCCAGCTGATGGCTGACACCGACGTATTCGGGCTGTACCGGGACGGCCCTCCCTCCGGCTCGGCTCCGTCGGCGGCCGGAGGTCTCGGCCCCGTCAGCTCGGCACCGGCCGCCGGAGGTCTCCAAAAAGGGCTGGCACCGTCACTGCTTCTCAACGGTCGTATGCTGGCACCGTTTCCCGGGCCGTTTGCAGATGATATGTTGAAACTGCCGCGAGTTCAAGGGATATCCGAAGCGCGGAGCGATAATAAGGCTAAGACAGCCACAGAAGAGGGTCAGACACCGGAGCAAGATGCCGGCGGTACGACCAGTCAGACTGTCGGTCTTTCTCAGCAGCCGGAGGAGGCAGAGCCAGTGCCGTCTGCACAGCCGGAGACACTGGCCACAGGACCAGAATCGCTCTCAGACGTATCTCCAGGACAGACAGCCGAGACTCAAAACTCGCACACAGAACATAAATCCCAGCCAGCTCGACTCCAAGAGGCGGTGTCTGCAGAAGAGACTGTCGTGCCACGTCGTCGTCAGACTCGAGTCGCCGGTCAGCCGCAGCCGCTCCAGTTCCCTGACACCCATATCTTCTGTCTTCTGCCGGAGCCGGGTCGACACCGCGGTGCGAGACCGGCTCACGGTAAAGATGAGCACTCTGACCCGGCGCAGGCGTCACCACCCGCAGTCGAGTCGGGAGAGAAGCACGCTCCGAGCCCAAGAGGACAAAAGGCCGCCACCGCCGGGAGTCCAGTAGTGCCGGCCTCGCGACGGGTCGAACCGGTGCCTTCGGGGGCTGATAACAACCCGCTGCTGCCCCCTCTGCCCCCGCTAGATCCGGACCAGCAGAGGCCGCTTTTCTTCCAGCCGCAGCTCGGTCAGAATTTCGGCCCATCTCAGCAGACCGAGCCGGAGGACCGCAGCTCAGTGTTCGACCAGTTCTGGAACCAGCTAGGAGCTGACATCCCTGATCAGCCTACATTCGACACCGTACCCGACACTGACCCCGATTTACAGCTAGACCCCTCGACATTCGGTCAGATGCCTAGTCAGGACCAGTCAGCGGACGGCGCGGCGCAGGGACCACAGGAGCGGATAGCGAGTCCGACTTTCTTCGCGCCGTATCCCCGTCAGAGTCGCTACCCTCAGCGCTCCACCGGGTACTACAGCACGCCCAGCCGGTCGCCAGTCGCTCCCGGTCGGTGGGGGACGACGGGCGGCTGGCCGGCCGGCTCAGCCTGGTCGCACGGCGGCCGCTCTGGCCGGACGCACCGCACGGCGTACCCAGCACCATGGAGGGGTCCGGGGCGGGGTCCTACCGGCGCCAGCGGCTGGCCGTGGCCCGCGCTGGCTACAGAGAGCCGCGGCCCGCCGCGTCAGGTGCCCAGCTCGGGAGTGTACCTGGTACAGCAGTCGGGCCAGTGGCCGCGGCCGGCCGGGTACCCGCTGTACTCGCAGTGGTACCGGCCGGCCGTGGTGCCTCTGCCCGGCGGCGGCTCGGGCGGCTCGGGCGGGGGAGGCTGGTGGTCGGCCGGCCGGTTCGTCCGCCCGGCCACGGCTATGGCCACCAGTGAGGAGTCGGCCGGCGCCGGCTCGCCACCGCTCTCGGCCGACTGGCCCTGGCCGGCCGTCTCCATGCTCGGTGGCCGGGACGCGCTGGTGGTGACCGGACTGGGTCGCAGCTCCGGAGCCATGGCGCGCGCCGGCGGACAACACGGCTGGCCGCCGGTGGCCATGGCGACTGCCGGAGGCTCGCGCACCGGAGGAGGCTACTCGCGGGCCTCTACCGGCGGCTTCGACCTGATCTTCGAGGACGGCATGTTCCACACTGGACGTGAGTAGCGGTATTAGTATGATTCTCAAGCTGCCGTAGCCATTGTTCTATACCAAATTCCTCAGCAAAGCATTGTTTATTTGCCGATAAGATAAGTTAGGCTGCCAACTTTCAAGTAATGACTGCTATATTCAGACAACCGTACAGATTGGGCTCCTGAGTTTGCCTAAAGGTGGGCAATTTTCACAAATTCTTTACAATTATGGTAAATCAGGCAGAACCATTGCAAGTTTTCGGTTACCGTAGTCAAATATTCGTCTACCTTACTACAATCCATACTACTACATAATACTACAACCCACTCAATCGAAGCATTCCGTGTTCTTCCCTCTGTGACACGAAAAACCCGCGCATGCTTAATGTCTCACACGCCTCTTGTCTTGTCCACAGCGATGGCGCTGAGCAGGTCTCCAGAGGAGTACGTGCCGCCGCCAAAGAAGCCCAAGAAGCCGAGCTCTGAATCAGGTGAAACTGCGACTGAGGACGAACTGGAGGACGTTGACAAACCAGCGGAGAGCGGGAGCGAGGCGGAGGACGGCGCCTTTGAAGGCTCCGGGGCAGAGGAGGAGTAACTCTCTGGTAGGAGAAGAGATGAACAGAACCACCGTCTGAATACTAGTAGGTCGCGGAGCCAAAATGATGCATCAGTTATAACTGGTAAGCTGATATCGTGTAGACTAGCCCTGCGAATATGAGTGAAGCCGGGGTACGAGCCACTGCCAGAGCCGAGTACGAATAGGTCTGTTTGACGGTAGGTAAGATTGATATTTCAGTATTTAATAGCCCGTGCTTAATTACAGATTGGAAAGGTATGATTCAGCAGGTGTGAGTACACAGTGTTCTTGCTTTGTGGTTTTACTGTATACGAATCCTAATGTTCATACTTCCTGCAGAGCCTCTAAAGTTAAAATTTTCGTGCTAATGACAGTGCATGCTGGGACCGCTTTGAGAATGTATGGTGCGCGCGCAAAGGTTTCTTCTTAATGTACCTGAGTCATTTCAAAAGACTAAGGAGCCGACTATGATGCAGAAATTCACTTTTGCATAAAGCTGTTTTGATGACCTGCTGTTTGATAACTACGACATATTGTTTGAGAAAATGGCTAGCAGTCTCAATCTCCAAAACTGCCACACAAATTGACCTCGCTCTCACTTCGACGCTGTGTCTACAGACAACAATATGTGTCGTGTTATGGCTTTGAATATAGACAGAAAATTACCACATATTTCCATACATGTGCTTTTCTAAAGATGCAGCAACTTCACTTTGAAAAAGCGTCTCGATTTGCATCACCTCGTTGAACATATCGCACACAATGCGCATATATCCCGGTGGGTCAGTCAAAGGACAAAGGTCAGTGACAAAGGAAGTTCAGAGAGCACACCGACCAAAGCAAGCGCGCCGCTACGGAGGCCAGCATCCTGCCAGGAGCCGTTGCATCAGCCCAGCCGGCCGGCCGGGCGTCCGGACGCCTGTGGTTTAGCGTTAGCGGAATAATTCTAGCAACTGTTAACGTGTCAAGTCAGCTTGGAGCCTATTCTGTAGGCATTTCCACCCCGAAAAATGCTTGACCTCGCTCGAAATACACCGGGATAGGCTAAAAATGAATGCAAGCAGTCAGATTTTTCAGGACTATCATAGTGATCTGTTCGAAGCAAGTCTTTCATCCTCACGAGATAAATCATGGTACCTAAATGTATATTCTGCTCTGCCTATTCTGCTGAATCCTAATCCAAATTTTCTGCCTACGCCGCTCGCTGTCTGAATTATGTGGGTGCAGGTAGTGCGGTCGGTTCGCTCAGTTCGCCCTAGTTTGACCTGTACGGGCGCTGGCGGTTCGGTTCGCTATCTAAACTCTGACCTGTGTGGGCGCGTAGTGCCGGCGGTTCGCTCAGTTCTCCATCTGACCTGTGTGGGCGCCTGGCCCGCCCTCTGGCCAGTGCGGCCCACTCTCTGTCTGACTTGTGTGGGGCGCAGGCTGTCCGCTGTCTGAACCCTGACCTGTGTGGGCGCGTAGTGCCGGCGGTTCGCTCAGTTTGCTCTCTGACCTGTGTGGGCGCGTAGTGCAAGCAGTCCTTGACGACCAGTAGCAGGAAGTCGGGATTGAGCGCGATCAGATACTGCACTCCCAGAGACAGCGTCCGAAAACTGCGGAAGTGCGTCTCGATCGCCTCGTTCAGAAGGCCTGCAGGAGAGCGAGCACGATTACATCACCATACGCTGAGCTGGATATGGAATCTGCATGGAAATAACAATTTATTACTGCTGCTGTCAAAGTGTGCATTTTGATAGTTATTTCACAACCGTGAGATTGAGATTGTAAAAAGCAATTGAGTCTAAAATGCTAATTGTGGCTGAATGATGATGAAAACAGCAAACAGTAAAAATGTGACATAACGTTGACATGTCCAGTGAGCTGGTTTGAACAATCACGCTCTTAAAGCTTGATAAGTGCAATATGTATAACACGTTCCCATAGTCATGCCAAGAATATTGACTACATCCAACGATAATTTTATCGCGTTTCATGTCCAAGCCGCCAACCTATTCTTTTTGTAAGGAAAGAATATACTCGAAGACCGCGGTTGGATTAGTGACGATGATTTAGACTTTGGATTGACAGGGCGCACCAGCAAGGAGGCTATATCGCGACGAGCGCCATCAAAACGCAATCATGGAACTGCTCTAGACCCCGCGCCACCATTCATTCTCAGTACCCGCAGACCGACCACCGCTAGCTCCTACCCCGCAGAGCCCAGCCGCAGCAGCCCGCGTCCTTCCGTCGCCGGCAGCACCAGCCACGTGGCATGAGCCGACCTTGCTCGCGGCGCTTCCGGAGTCAGGAGCGCGAACCGGGACCACTTCCTCTCCCCTCTCTCCTGCTCCCCCACTGCTCTCTCCACTCTCGCTCACTCACCGAGAACCTCTTCGGGACTCTTGTTCTGTTTGCGCGCCAGCAGTGCCGACAAGTAGAGAATGTCGGCAGTGTAGCCGAGCGATTTCTGGGTCTCCTTCAGGAACTCGAGGCTCTGTTGCGCCACCTGGTGGTCGCCGTCAATCAGCTGGCAGGTGATGATGCCTGTCGTGATGAGAAATTCGTGATTAGCTTGGTGAGCTGACGTCAATGCATTTATTTATTTATCTACACCCAAGATACAATTTTAATGCAAAACGTTAACGATTTTTCAATTAAATCACGATTAATCATTTAACATATAATATGTATGTAGATTACGTTGATGCCGACCAATGACTTTCGTGTCCAACAAATTTTCATATCATGGCCAATCAAAAATAAAATAACTTGCTAGATCCGGAATAAGGTCGGACGCTATACGAACTGAACTTGGCCAGAGTGTCTAGTAACGGCACGGGATATCACGTGACCCTGAGTATCCAGGTCACATCCTGAGCGGACCCGCGCGGCGGAAACACGACACGCGCCCAATGCGTCCAACAACTGCAGTGAACGCGCTAGTACAATGACGAAACGCACATGGCGTTACATACACAAAATAAAGATAGAAGTCGCGGATCAGTGACAGCTTAACTTATCACCATCTCGTTAAAGGGATTGTGTTATGTCCGATAACGAACAGGCGACGTTGAGCCCACTCTTAACACTCCCAACGCTACCAAATTACACAAATTGTACTACAGCTTCCGTATTCCCCAACATGCTATCCTATCCCCAACATCCCTCCCTTTCCACAGACCTGACAGCGCCTCCATAGACGCCTCATCCTGTTTGGTGGCCGCCTTGTAGAACTTGAGCGCCTCGCGGGTCTTCTCCTTGAGCAGGTTCTGGTAGGCTACCTCGACCAGGTACTCGGCGCGGCCCGGCTCCAGCTGTGCGGCCTTCTCGGCCATCGACAGCGTAAAGTCCAGTACACCGTCGTTGCGGCCGCACTGCAAACGTACACATTGTGACATGAGAAGGGGCAAGAGTTCGGCTGAGCGGCCTGTCCGCTCCACATGAGGACACAATAGGGCACACTTTTCTCAAAACGTACGAGCTGGTTCTGTGAAGCAGCGGAAAGCGGCTCACATGACGAGGCTTTTTCAAATGGGTCTCGAACGAGCAAATGGATCCTCCCACAAAAGGCTGAAGGTTTGGAAACTACGAAAAATAAAACAAATTAAATGTCATCTGAGTAAAAGCACCAAAGAAACAATGAGTATGGCTTCATACACTTGGCAGTGTTGTAAGCCATTCCATGGATAATCCAAGGCAGCGGAGATTGACCAACACCAGAAGATATGAAGTGGATTAAACAACAAGGTTGAAATATACACGAGAGTTATTTGGGAAAGGCGAAATTAAGACCACATTTTCTGTTGTGTTCCCTAGGCTCACCAAGAAGATGAAATGAAAGAACTTAAGAAATGGGTATGTCACATATCACGTCACACTAATCTAAACGTCACTACTCACTGATAGGATGTACCTAATATGTCAAAAGCGGTCGATGACGTCAGTAGATATGATGTCACACAAGGGAATGTGACGGCAGAGCAGGCCTTCGATTTCGCGTATATACTCTATAGAATATGTTGTATGCGTCGTATGCGGTACTATGACGACATGTGCGGTAACGTCATAGCAAGACTATGACGTCGCTCATGAGAAGTAAATCTATGACGTTCAATGCAGGAACGAGGAGTGAATGCTGTATGACATATCCACTGACTGGCTATAAGGGCGTCACATGAGTAATAACGGTTCTGATTTACCGACATTTTACATAGGAAGAAACTTTGAAATGTTCCATGCAACGTCTAAGTTCAGATAAAAATTATAGCAAGTGAGCAATGAAAACCACAAACAAACAACTACCACAAACCTCACAACAAATCTTAACCAGCAGTCCCACACGCCGGCGTCACCACCGACCCCTACCGTGCGCGAGAAGAGGCGGGCGCACTCGAGCAGGAACGGCGGGTTGTGCGGCTCGTGACGGTCCACGTTACGGACAAACTCTTCCAGTCGTTTGCTGGCCTCCGGGTAGTTTCCGTCGCGAGTGAGCAGGCCGATCAGACGGAACCGCAGAGCCTCGATACAGTGGGGTGACGTGGCCAGCACCCTGACGGCAGAGGTTTTTGAAGGTTGGGGTGAAATGCGACATGGTGCGGCGGCGACGAGATTAGCTTCAGTGAATGGTGTGGCTGGATATAGCTCAACGACAGCCCACGACCTGTGTTTGGAAAATTAATTAAGGACTATGCATCTAAAAAAAAAAGATTGTTAACAATCACCAGACAAGTAAAAGCTGCCCGATGCTCTCATTAAAAGTTGAGGAGAACGTAGGCAGCAACGAGCTGCACGATCACAATGAACGAAAGTGACAGGTAATCTATCACCAATAAAGAAAATTAAACGATGTACCAAAAAGCCAGGTGACTAGTTATCCCACCTGGCTGCCGCCCACAAGCCAAAATCTCTCTCTCCGCCGGCCTGTTCATAGACGCTCTGGTCCTCTCACGTCCTATCTCCCTACAAACTAAGTAGTCACCTCTCTCCAGTCTCCACCTACCTGTTCATCATGTCGACGCTCTGGTCCCAGTCGAGCATGGCCATGCTGACCTTCATCTTCTCGACCAGCGGCGGCACGAAGCCGGGTCGCATCGCCACCACCTGGTTCAGCTCCGACTGGGCGTTCGTGAAGTCGTTGTGCAGCTCGTAGTAGCGCGCCTTACAGAACAGCAGTGAAATGTCCCGGTTGTTCCTGGAATTGTCAGAAAGGGGAGGCTAGATCGGTGCTGTGGTTATATTCCTGGAAGCAATGAGAGCATAGCTTGGGACCAGATGAGAGGAAATCCCAGGCTTTGAAGGATTGCCGATGACAATGACCATTCGCATTCACCATTCGCGGAGCAGTGGGGAATAGTTATAAACGATTGTTATAGACGATAGTCATTCGCGTTATCCATGAGATCTACCCAATCGTTTATACATTGTCACAGCAGCTTACTGGACTACATCGAAGTTACTTAATTAACTAAATGCTCTCGGTGATCAATGTTCATGCAGGCCGAGCCAGCTAACCAACAAACCAATTAATCAAACAGACGTCATGCATGAGCCACAGCACAGTACAGCATGATATCTTGATAAATGCATACCTACACCATAACATTTGCGCCTCATTTTTTGCCACCAGTGGGAAAATGTGTCTGCCTTTAAGCCCAAAATATCGTACATCGTGACAGTCTGGATCAAAAACCACAAAAAAGACAATGGACATCTTACACATATCGAACCACGAACATCAAAGATCGAACGATTTTCGCCGGCCATCCACACGTTCATCGAACATGCTCAATAATCCCTCCATCTCCCGATATGTCTTCCTTTGCTCCCGCCGACTAACCGCTTTTCGGCCTGGTCCAGGTAGTCGATAGCCTTGGTAGGGTTCTCGCCGGCGTACATTTCCACCCAGCCGCGCATCACCCACGCGTCCACGGCGTCGCCGTTCATCTTCAGCGTGCGGTCCAGGTACTCGCGGGCCTTGTCCGGGTGGCCGGTCAGCACCAGGAACATGCCGGCGTAGTACAGTGCCTACAGAAAGGAAGCGTACTGTGGTGACGAGTTGGGTGACGAGACATGGCTGAACGAATTACAAGAGTGATAAATGATTAAGGGCATAAGGGGAGCACCAAATTAAACTTCACAGTCAGTCGATCGAATGTGCGATGCAGATGTTGGCTGTCTTCAATGCAAGGGGTATCAACCTGGGGACAATATAAACGCCAATTTCGAGTTTTTTTTCACAATAAAATACCTTCGAGTTGCGGCGATGTCCCTTTTGCCTCGCCCTCCCTCCTAAAACGTCATTTTTTTTCTATTCCAACTTCTTACTAACACTTACCTACCCTCAAACCCCCTTCCCCGTTACACTCCCAGAACACAACCCATCCCCCTCTCCCCGGCCGATCGGACTAACCCTGTCTCCGGCTCGTTTGCGCTCCTCCCGCCGCCGGTTGTCCAGCTGCTGGACGGCCTGACGGTCCACCGACTGACACAGCTGGTGGCAGTACATCATGGCCAGGATCGTGGCCAGCTGCAGGTCCGAGTCGTTCTGAAACGGAACGGAGCGGGACGGTGAGCTGTGCGGTAATGTAGGGCCGGACAAGGGGTCGACCAGATACACTGATGCGAGATGTTGCTGGGTCGTACTGTCGTCTTTTACTGTCGTAGGTAGTAATCTCAAATATGGGGATCAGATTCCAGGCCAAACTCCCGGAATACGAGAACCAGACGCATGAGCTTGCAATTTGTCGTGCAAAAAAAGTGTCATGCATCAATGTAAACAGGGTGGGATGGACAAATTGAGACACATTGTGTTTATCAATTCAAATGCAGTTTGCCGGTTAACCAAAAAACAATCAGTCAGAAATATATTTATTTCGTGACACTGGCATCGTTGTAGAGCATTCTCACTCGATAAACCCTCCCTCTGCCGCCACCATCCTCTCCAGCCGGCTCCTGAACCTGCCGCACGCGCACTTCACGACAGCTCGGTCCATGGCCGCCATCGTCTCCTCGATGGTCCGCTTCAGAGCCTCCCTGGAGGGGTGGGGGTTCTTGTTGGAGACCCTCTCAACTTCGCCCCAGACAAAGTAGTCCAGGGGGTTGAGGTCCGGAGAGTTGGGGGGCCAGAACTCCTTGGTCCACGTCAGGTGCATGTTCTGCCGGCACCACTCCTGCGTCTTCTTTGCTGCGTGTGCGAGTGCTGAGTCTTGCTGGAAGACATATCCAGCTCCTCTCGTGACTTCCTTGATCCAGGGCAGCACGACAGTCTCCAGAACCCGTAGGTAGACGTCTGTGTTCACCTTTTCGTTCTGTTCGAAGAAGTGCGGTGGCATCACGTCTCCGTTGCTGGTGACGAATCCGAGCACCATGACTGACGCTGGGAACTTGGTCTTCATGGCCACGGGCACCTCATCGGGGAAGCGGCAGAGGTAACGAGTGTTGCGCCGGTTCGTTTTGCGATCGACTGTGAAAATCTTCTCGTCGCTGAAGACTCTCACCAAACCTGAGGCTTCACGTTTCAGCGAACCCAAAAGTTGTTTTCCGATCATTAGCCGTCTCGCCTTCATCCCATCGGTTAAGAGTTGCCGGACTCTGAGCACATATGAATTGAAGCGGAGATCCTCATGGACGGCTTGGCTTATGAGGAACGGGCTCACGTCCAGTTCTCGGGCCAACTGCCGAAGAGATTTCTTCGGGTCCTCCTCGATCAGAGCCTGGAGTTGCTGCAGAAACGCCGGCGTTCTCTTCTTCCCAGGCCCTGATTTACGCTTTTTACGCTCGGGAGTCACCCCTCCTTCATCCTCGCCATCTCCACCGCCCTCCTGTGCCCGCACACGCTTGGCAATGCGGTACACCGTGCTCCGTGGGACACGCAGGAACTCGCTGATCTCCGCCGGGCTCCTCCCTGCGCGCAGCGCCGGGAGCACGGCGGCTCGGCGATCGTACTCGGCTCCGCGACCAGACATGATTTGACCTGACCTTGGGTCACCCTCGCTTTTATAGCATCTGAGGGCCGTGCCAGCGATGCGACCAATCAGATCGCGGTTATAGCCGAGGCGTACAACCGCGTAGAAACTTGTCTCAATTTGTCCATCCCACCCTTATATACGTTATCTATGGAATGGTCATTACGGAGCGAGCGAAGCGAGCGTAGTCTTTCCTTCCTAGATTAACGGAAATTTCTGAGTATGAGCGGCCGGCCGGCCGGCCGGCCGTGCGGACGCTTTTGCGAGGCTTATATCTCAGCAACCACTTGACCGATTTACACGCGGTAATTTTTGTAGGGTAGCTTCATTCCTTCTACCAAGTATTGGACTATTCCCGATGCATGTGGATGACCCCTTATGCACGTGCCACGCGCAAAACGAAGAGGTGTCAGTTTTGCAATTGCTGCAATATCTCGGTAACTACTTGGCCGATTGCGCTGAAAGTTGGCATGTAGGTAGGCACCCACTAGGCACTGCATATCCATGTGCCAGAGTTGGGGTGCTGCTGCACGTGCGCACGTGCAGGGGTCGTTTCCAGATCTCGAGAACGGCTGGACCGATGGCGCTCAAATTTGGTACACGGTTAGGGACCAGTTAGTAGGGTGCCGTGCACAAGCCAGTTGGGACCCATTTTGCACGTGCGCACGTGCAGGGTGCCGCTCCCAGATCTCGAGAACGGCTGGGCCGATTGTGCTCAAATTTGGCACATCGCTAGAAACCGGTCAGTAGGGTGCGGTGCACAAGACTGTTGGAGGTACCCCCTCGAAATTTCGCACGTGCAAGACTCACCCCCTCGCTCGCTCCGTTAGTCGCCCCAAAAGGCGCTATACTGGTAATTAAAAGAGCTGATCACCTTGATGAAGAAGGGTGTTTACAAACCATCGAATGCGGGTCCGACTTCGGAATACTACGGTCCCGTCGCGCGCTCTGTACCTACCAGCGTGTTCTCGAACTCTCGGATAGCCTCCTGCAGTTTTCCCTCCATGGCCAGCGAGAGGCTGAACCAGAAGCGGAACGCCGGCCCCTGGCCGAACTTCTTCATGGCCTCGGAGGCTGTCAGCTGCATGGCGCGGTAGTACCGCTCTCGACAGTAGTACTGACATTGTGCCTGTCGGTGACACAACACGTGACGGGGAAGATATTGGAGGAACAGGGGTCAACAGTGAGGCGTGTTTGGGTAAAAGGTGTGATGTTCGTGAGCGGGTTTAGACAGCTGCGACTGGCCAAACACAGTAATGTGCGTAGATTGGTAAATGTTTACCTAATAAAAAAGGGAATGTAATAACGTAAAAACTTGAGTTTGAGTACTTGCGATTCAAGGTTGCTCGCAACCGGAGAAGACTAGCTTAACGTATTGCGTGAAACAAGTGATGGGTTTACAGAAATCCGTAATAAATTTAAATTAATTTTGGCAGAACATAAATATACTTACATGATAAAAGTTTTCATCCGCCATTTTCACGTTTCAAGATTACTCTGCAGGAAACCTGAAACAGATAAAACGGTTTTAATTGTGAGAGCCAAGAAGGAACGGGTCACTAAAGTATGCGTTTTGAATCGAAGAAAGGCGCATATAACCATCTCTCCGCTATATTTTACTCTCTCACCGATTCGTCAGCCCAAGGCCATATAACGTCAGCCTGTCTTCTGGATCATTTGGCACGATTCAAACAAGGTAGGGAAATAACTACGCATTTGATTTCGACTCAAGGCTATAGAACTCCTTTTGACCATTACTAATGTAAATGATGTAGTCAAGGCCGGATCCATCCTTCCTCTCCAATATGAGATAATACGGGATCGCTGGGCTATCAGGAAGTCAAGGACCGCTACGTAGCTTCTACTGGGCCCGGCATGACTGTCATCAACAGGGTACAGGCTATTGCCAATTGGTGGGAAACGAGAACAGGATATCGAAAATCTGATGTGTCAATGTGGGCAGAGTGGACCATTATAATGACCGATGGGACGGGATGATGAAAAATAAACGGTAATCGGATGAATTTAATGACCGTGTCTATTAGTACCTAGGTACGCAGTTACAGCTGGAAACTGTAGGTATCGCGCCGTGACTGGTTTATTCCTTTACACAATATTCCTTCATCTACTTTAAGCATGACCAAAAAGTCATGCACCAGCATATATCTGCTCGTGTCATGCATTACAGACACAGTCACAATAGAAACAGTTTCAGAAACCATTTACCTAGCACTTTCTTACAGAAACAAAGTCTGCTACCACACTTCTCATTCTGTGATGTGTTGCGAGTTGCCTGTGAGTCACGTTCCACGGGTGGTAAGCGTCTCGATCACGTCTTGTTCAGTAGATGGAGGGAGTGAACCAAGGAGCACTAGCCATTAGGTGATGGCCCATGCCATGGGTGAATCGTTGTGTCGGAATGACTATCGGCTTCATGATGATCTCGCCAGAAGTAGACAGCAGGAGATAACAGATGCACTTAACAATTAACATCAGCTGATTGCCCTGATCAGCTGAGCGACTGACTCGTCCGGTCGGCATCCGGGGCGGCACAAGCGGCCAGGAGCGGAAAATCAGGGGTATCAGCCGGACTGATCACCGCGGTCAGGTGCAGGGAGGGCGAGGGGAGGGAAGGTGGGCCGGGACACACAACCACTTATGTCAATGTAGAAATGCTTGATACAAGTTCTGGCATGTGTTTGACCTTTGTATATAGGATGGCAAAGGCAAGAAGCTCTGCAGCTCACACCTGTCCCCACAATTCCTAAATCTTTGCAAACTCTCCTCTCTTCACAAAACTCTCCAGATACCTATTACCTACATCGGAAATTTCTGCATGATTTGCGCCGAAAATTGGGTGCCTATTTGTGCCAAAATGAAGCCACTTTCAGCGCACTGCATCGTGCCATGGAACAAGGCCCGGGCCGGAAGTTACGAGGCAACAAAAACGGCGGAGCGGTGTATTCGAGGCTGGCAGGCGCCAGCGAGCGCCGGGCAGCGGAGCAGCACGTGCTCCGGCACACGGCACAAAGCGCCGCTTGTCCGGGCACTGCTGGCACGCCGCGGAGGAAAGACGGCCGATTCGGCGCACGTACTGAAGCGAGCGGGCCCAGTAGCCTGCCCTCATCTGGTGCAATGAAACGGCGTCCTCTCAGTCTTCTTCGCGGATGGGGACGGGGAGTGGCAGCATGCTGGCTTATAGTGGCTTGAATGGTAACACAGACCAGTGGTTGCGCCATTTGAAGCCAGGCCGCACAATAAAGCACTCGGGTCAGCAAGCGGGTCCGAGGGCACTTGTTTCACCAGATTTTCACTTCCCTCGATCCCACAGTGGCCAGTGGGCAGGAGCTTGGACAGGAGTCCACTGCAGGATTATTTTATAATGTTTGTTGCTTGGAAATGTTCAACAAGGTCTTCCATAACTATCTCCATGCCAAGGGTGGAGGCCTCACCTGGGCAGCCACTCCTCCACTGAGTAGACTCAGAGCAGCTTGCGAGTCAGAGCACGTGACAATCGGGAGGGGGACCTCTTGTCCCAGACCTCTCCAAAGCCGCCCGGCGCCCGCAGGGTGAATCTGCTGCTTGATTGACCAGCATGCTGAAAAATTTGGTGACCACTATTTGCTGAAAAATCATGCAACCGCCCTGTGCCAAAAATTCAGCACCCGCCATGCGCTCAATTCAGCGCATACAAAGTTACACAGGACATGGGCTGACATTTTTGACACAATCCCACCACTACACCGGACATATTCAGCATAACATGCATTTTTTCCAGTCTGGTACCTATAATCTATGATTTCTCACCCTGGGACTCTGGGGCTGATGTTATTTTGAACATATGTTCAGCAAATTAATTCCTATGTCAGAAGACAAGCGATGGACGGACCAAATCAGACATGTGATCATAAATACCATTTAAATTACCAGGCAACCAAATAGCACATACCTGACCTGACCTGACGGGCTTTGCCAAATTCACTTATCCAAGGTAGCAGTCAAATGAACAGTATTGAAAGCAAGTTGTGTAGAATGATCACCACCTAGCCAATCAAGCTCAAAATGACAATAAATCATGGATTATTTCGAAACAAATGAAATCAGTTTACATTTATGTCTGACAGCATCCCATCCAACCTCACAATGCAAATTCAGAGTTGTTTACATTCATCGGCATTTCATAAACAAACTAATGTCATTGCTCCACCGGAATTGTATCAAACTGTTTTTGTGCTTAAAAAACTGCAAAGAATTAATTACCTTATTTCAAGCAGAATTCTGGAAAAATAGCTGGGATTTTTGGTTGTAAAATGTTAATTAATTAATGAAGAAAAAAGATTCTTAAATATCTTATAACATTCATTTCAACTTTTGGTTCTCACGTATGCTATTCTCTTACACCTACTCACAAATGTTTATTTACTTATCTCGTCTGCAAGCGCATATGAAACATAAGGTCACAAGGTGGCCAGTAACGATCGAAAACGAAGAATTTTGGATTAAGAATGAAAAAATCATATCAAAAGAATAACTGGTACTTGTGTTTCTTCTGGTAAGTATACAACCGAAAACTCCAAATTGCAGTGAAATAAGAGCTTCTGATTTCTTCATATCAATACAAAAGTTGATTTACAGCTTAGTATTTGACGTCATAAAATAGCAACCTTCATATAGCACTATGGGCAGAAAATAGTCACAAATCACAGAAAAAAAGAGCTGTACCTTTATAAACAAGTGTTTCATGTGTAAAAAATTCCAATTTTGGATCAAAAACTTGAAATTTTTCATTACTAGTTGCTCGTTTTTCATTTCAATTCGTCTAAATGGAATGACGTAATAGGCTTCTATATTAGAAATGATATTTTGAGTCATATTTTCCATTGTTATTGTAACACAAGGTCATTTGACACGAGAGGTTGGGGCAGAAGGGGAGGATGCTGATGCGTGTGTGTGGGTTGAGGTGGTTTATGTAGCCTTGGTGGAGGTGTGGATACAATGAAATAGGTCATAAGAAGCCAAAAGAAGTTTCAAATCAGCTACATTGTGCGGTGCTGCGAATAGCATGACTAAGTGCTATTGAACTTACACGTCTCAAGCTGGAAAGTCAGTTAGGTACGAGCTTGAACTGCGATCCCAGCGGACAGCACTCCAGCGGATCCAGGTCAAGGTGAGCTTCTGTGGGTCTCGAGGCCTGTGCCTGCCCGCTGTTGGTAAATAGTGCTTCTAGTCCTACGGATCTGCTACTCATTTCTATATGAATATAGGAATGTAATGTAACACTTCGTGTCCTGGAAGGTGGGCGGGGGGAAGGTTTCACTGCGTCTGCACGGGGGGATTGGGATAGAGGCTGATCGGTGGATCATACATGATTGTTGACTGTGACGCCCTTGCACATTCTGCTTCCATCCTTGTGGTAAAGACTGAAGAGTGAAGAGTACTGGATGGATGCATTTCGATCCTTTGCATCCGGTCTTATCGGGCCTACTTATTCTGTGAATCAGGACACTCAAATGCATCCCACCCACCACCTGACCACTAGGTACTGCAGTTACAATTATGACCGTCGGGTCCGGGAGCTGATAACTGACAAATATTTTGGACTCGTCCTCCGCTGCGTTTTTTATTCAGCTCACAACTCAAACTGGTTGCGCGGCCAAAGAACAATTATTGCCCGCTGGATCAGTCGGTGACACACCAGGGAATTAAGCTAAAATTAGAGCGCTCTATTTATTGCTCCCGCTACTTCACCGTCTCCCATAGGGTCCTGTGTTGAGCTGGTGTCGAGGCTCTAAAAATGACGCCGATTTTTGCACCCTTTTCACGAAAACCGCTCGGACCGCCTGGAAACCAATTGTTCCGCTCTAAAAATTTCATGATCGACGGGAAAATGAATGAGGAAAAGATTGGTCCTGAAATGATTCTGAACTCCCTGTAGAACATATCGAAATATGGCTGCAAACTAGGAGCATGTCAAAATCGACAAAACAATACAAATAAACTTACCGGGATTTTTTTATTTTCCATGCATCTGTGTATGAAATCAGTCGGTTTTTCGGAAAGATCATCTTCTGTTTAATAAATAATTCCACAATTGCAATCGAGAAAAAAAAACATTTCCGCTGTGACAGCAGTTTTGGCATTGTGCCAGTTGTCTGGCGTAGTGTGGCGTGCGCGGTGCTGCGTGGTCGTCGGGACGGAGTTGTGAGTATTTTCGGTGTTTTAAATGGTTGATGGCCATTTGAACCAGCTTCATATTATTTCCTACAAATTTTTGCATCAAATTATTGCTTTGAAAGACCATTGAAACCCCTTATCTCTTCATGAAACACGATTATATTCATCGTCGACGAAAATGGCGCGGGACTCCATGTGCATTCCGATCGAAATAAATCGTAAATTAAATAATATTCGATGATAAGTATCATATTCTAGTGACACATTTTCATAAAATAAGGCATAAACTTTGCAAGGAAGTCAACATTGGATAATTGGTATCTTATTTTGCTCACATATCCTTGTAGTAGCCAAATGGCTCAATTGTTAGATAGATGTAAGTATATGTTTTGGCTTGATGTTTGCTGTGAAACCACCCAGCCACTTGCTGGTTGAGTGGTTTTCTGATAATTACCTGATAATCATTTCTCCTTTTCCTTAAAAGAAACTAAAATTCCTTTCAAAGTAATCATTTTAAGGAAAGGTGGCTTGCTCATTGGCATTTCATGTTCTTGTTTTGTTATTGCTGGCAGTATTTTGATACAATAATGCAATATGAATTTTTTGCAATAATAAAACCTAAGACAAACTTAGTTAATGCGTCAATCAAACACCCAACAGAAAGATTGTGAGTCCTTGTGACGTGAAGTAGAATATTCTATGAATGTGTTATATAGAATATGCCAAATATTAAATTAATTATTATTTGATACTGATAGCTGAGCAGGTGAATTATGCCACAATATAATTTCATTTTCTGGTTTTGAAATAGCCGGCAGTATTTTACTTCAACAAATAAAATATACATGGAATACATGTTGTTATGTTACCTATGTTAAAAGTTTAATAACAGCCAACAGAAGGAGCTGTTTCAGCAGATAATGTTTGTACCTTATGCATTACCTTTCTTTTCTGCAGGACCATGCTTCCGCTGGGTGGTCGACATTTGCCTCCTGAAGAAGTTGAGCAACATGAAGACCACCAGATGAGGTGTCTGCAGTTCATGTGGAACTCTGCAGACTACAAGTGTTATGCCAACCACAACCAAAGTGCTGTGATCATGGAGGCATGAACCTCATGACAACACTTCAGATTTGCAGTTGAACCAAAGTGTGACTCAAACCACCTGTGACATCTCACTCAATGTGCGAACAGTGTGATTATTGTGCAGTGTTCAGCTGCAACTAAGACATTTATTAGTGACTTGTTTTGCAATTAGCAACCAAAAGCATTTTTTGGGCTGGCTGCTGTAATTTGTTGTGCACTGCGCAATAGTGGTAGTGTTTTGTCACTTGTCAAGTTGTCAGTTGTGCATGTTGCATGTTTCTCTTCCCTCGGCCCTCATTATCAGTTAAGTGGTGAATTGGCATCACTCAGTCTCCCCAGATCTCCATTGACTGTCTGTCAACCACCTAACTTGAGATGGTATTTGCTAATAGTGTCAGAAAAGAAGTGATTGTAGACATTTTTAGGAATATGAGCTCCGTTTCATGCGTGTTCGAGTGGTTATTTTGTCACATGTCCCATAGGCCATAGTGTAATAAATGGAAACTGTTGTTCCCTTTTGAAGGTACTCGCGGATGCAGAAAGCGTTGGGCCTAATTATTAAACGCACCCTCCTATCAGCGACGCACGAAATCGACAAATATCATCCTTTTTAGAACAGGAGGAAACGAAAATTTGTGAACATAGCTGTACCTACAACAGTGCGTAAGGAATTGAAATTCTGGGAGTTTTTGAAATTCGGAGAAACTCAAGTTGTCGACAGGTATGCCCCATTGCACGTCAAAGACCGCCTAAAAAACAAACGTCTACAAATGAAGGCAGTATTCGTATGTTCGTTGTAATTGCAGCAGCCTAGCAACATGTATTGCGGTCCGATGGCGAATTACACTCGTGCTCAAAAACTATGCCGGTAACTGCCAATGCACTTAGGTCATAGATGAGGAGAGGATGGGGAGAGGAGTGTAATCGCCACGCCGATTGTGGATTGCTCTTGATCGTCAATACATACATAGGTACATACAAGGGTTATGTCATATGTCAACATCATAGAAATGGCTTCATCTGAGCTGTGCCTATTGTACATAATTCAACCAATCTATGCATTTCGTTTCTTGCAATCTACTCATGCTTTCACTCCAGCTTCAGAGTAATCATCCCATATTGTACGTCTTAAGATATTGATTTCTATGGCGGTTTGCAATTACTAGCCACGTCTCACCTCAGTTTGGTGGCCCCGCATCGGCCCACTCGGCCGCTCAAAAATTGACTTACGGAGGAGGATGGTGGCTTTTATTTTAGCTTCTCCGCCGACTGCGGGGAGCGCCGTCGCCGAGGTAGGAGCAATAATTAGCTTATGTTTGGGACTAATTTCCGAGCTTAATTAACATTTTAATGTTATTTTAATTAATTCATGTTAATCTTTGACGCATTCTCTTTCTATTGATACCATCCACCGGTCTGAGAATTACTGCCTTGCTGCGTAAGGGCCGATAAAAGATCACGGTTTTAGGGGTATTTCTTCAACATGGGGCAGGAGCAATAAATAGAGCGCTCTAATTTTAGCTTATTTCCCTGGTATGTCACCAACTGGGATCGGGCTTCCTCCAGCCTCAAGACTGCCGTAAATCGTGAGCCGTCGTGACCTATGTAACGCTATTCTGTATCAGTATTTTGCGAAAGTTCAAAGCGGAAGCAAGCCTGCTCCCATATTCCGCCAAAGTTACTTTAGCCACGTTTCCAGCAAAATTTAAAGGATCCTGAGAGAATGTGATGGCTCGCTGCCTAAAATGGTGAAATCGTTGAAGGAGACAGGGGTGACTGAATGTGACTGTGATCGTCCATTCGCGATCACAGTCACACATGTGACACCCCTGTCTCCTTCAACGATTTCACCATTTTAGGCAGCGAGCCATCACATTCTCTCAGGATCTTGGAATCACTTTTCATCCATCAAATTTAAAGGATTCGGAGATTGGATGGCAGGGAAGTGGAAGGTGGTACTCGCCATGATGAGGCGCAACTGGACTGTGCAGGCGTCCGGAGGCGTGCCTTTTTACGGACAAGTTTTCTCTCGATTTCATTCAACACATCAATTGCGCTTCAGATTATCATAATATTGATATACCATGGCTAAGAGGTCCTTCTTAACACAAACTGTCAAGCAGCGGTTGCATGCGACGGTATGGAAATGCCTAGCGATCAATGACTATCCGACCATCACATTACCGCGGGGTCAGGCCGTCAAGGCTGAATTTTTCGTGAACGAGGCAGTGAGCAAGGCGATGACACTTGCAATGACGCGGCAGGGTAAGGAAGAGTCTTCTGATCCTAGCGAAGTCAAATATTTTCAGACATGACGACTTACGAGGGTCATTTTTCAAAGGACTGCTTCCCGGCACATTAGTGTCAGAGACGCATGGAAGATGCCGTTCGCATTTCGCTGAATTATGGTTCTTAGGTCGGGGGAAAGCTCTGACCTGTCACCGATTGAATTAGGGAATATCCCAGACTTGTCACCGGTCGAACCACGAAATAGCCCAGACCTGTCACCGGTCAAACCAGGAAAAAGTCCAGATCTGTCACCGATCGAACCAGGAAATAGCCCAAACCTGTCGACTGCCACCGATCGAACCAGGATAGCCCAATTCTGTCACCTATCGGACCAGGAATTAGCCCAGACCTGTCAACGATCGAACCAGAAAACAGCCCAGTCCTGTCACTGGTCAAAAATGTATGAGATGTTTTGTTACATTTGAAGTACCTGGTCTGCAGGATCAGTTGATGACCAACAATTTGATGACCGGCATGCCGAATCGCATGCCGGCTTGTGTCAGTGAGAAAAAAGGAAATGGATTTTTGAAACCACGCCTCGAAGACTCATTTCTGACTTGCTGCATTTAATGCATCAGCAGCGCCATTCCTTCGCCTTTCGTGTGCTCGACGCTCCTC